TACCAAATAACCAATAAATGTTTAGATTTCCCTGATTGTCTCATTAAAAGCAATTGTTTGAAATAGTTTGTTTAAATCATGATCCAAGGATGGGTATGGTGGCTCATGCCTGTAATCCCAGCACTTTGGGAGTCTGAGATGGGAGGATTGCTTGAGCCCAGGAATTTGAGATAAACTTGGACAACATAATTAAGACCTTGTCTCTAAAAAAAGATAAATCGTGATCCAAACAAGGTGTATACATTGCATTTTATTTATTTATTTATTTATTTATTTATTTTAGAGATGGGGTCTTGCGATGCATGTTGCCCAGGCTGGTATCAAATTCCTGGGCTCAAGTGATCCTCCTGCCTTGGGCTTCCAAAGTGTTGGTATTACAGGCGTGAGTCACCACACCCATTGATATGTTTTTTTTTAAAACCTTTTTATTTTGAAATAATTTTAAACATACAGGAAAGGGGCAAAAATAATATAGAGACTTCCTATATATCCCCTAGTGTTAACATTTTGCGTAACTGTGGCATACTTATCAGTATCAGGAAATTAACATTGATGCAACACTATGAAGTGATCTACAGACTCTATTTGAATTCTGCCAGTTTTCCCATGAGTGAGCCTTTTCTGGTTCAGGATCTCATGATGGATCCACATTGAATTGTCATGTCTGCTTAGACTTGGCTAATATGGAACAGTTGCTCAGATTTTGTCTTTTATGACCTTGACTGGTTTGAAGAGGACTGGTCAGTTATTTTGTGAAATGTTGTTAAATTTGGGCCTGCCTGGTGTTTCTCTCATGTTAGGGTGTTTCTCTCATGTCAGACCCAACAGCAGGTTGTGGGGGCAACGAAGTCCGTCGCAATCAAAGGAATGAGAAAAGACAGTTTGAAAGAGAAAGTGGGACCAGGGGGCCATCGCTAAGTATGGAGGCTATGAAGGCCTGGAGCTCTGGAAGCCCAGACTATTTATTGGTGATCAAACAAAGAAACAGGTGGTGAGAATATGGGAAAGGGCAAGTACATGATCTACAGCTGTGACGGTTTAGCATTTCCTTTGAGGCATATGGAACATGTTCTGCTACTTGAGATAATGGAGAGCAGGTTCTTTTAACTTGATACAATCAATCCTGGGAGAGCAAGGAGCAAGGAGCCAGCAAGTCTAGACACATTCCAGAGCCACAAGGGGTTTTAGTCCCTGATTCCTGGATTCTGTCCAAGCCAAGAGGGGTTTTATGCCCTGGACTTAGATTATGGTGCATCAGGGTAGCCTTCCACCCTTCAGCACAGAGTTTGGTGTTCCAAAGGCCATAAGGAGTTTTAGACCCTGGACCCTGGGCATGTTCCAAGACTCTTTACATTATGTCAGGTATCAAGCCCTGCTTCAGCTTCTCCCAATACTCAGCTTTTCTCCCAACACTCTCATGATTAGATTGAGGTTGTGTGTTTTTGGCAAGAATAGCATGGAAGTGACGTGCTCTTCTTGGTGTATCTTATTTGTAGGTGCGTAATGTCAGTCTGTCATTATTGGTGAGGTTAGTGCTAGTCACTTGGTTAAAGTGGAATCTTCTGGGTTTCTTCACTATAAAGTCACTATTTTATTACCTTTATAATTAATTTTGTGGGGAGGTCTTTTGAGACTATATGAATATCCTGTTTCTCTTCATACTTTGAAGAATTCTAGCATTCATTGATGATTCTTACCTGCAACAACTATTACTGTGGTGTTTACCTAGTTGTTATTTTCTTTTTCTATCTTTTCTTCTACTCTTATTAGTTGTAAGTCTACTACGAGGAAGAACTGTCCTCTTCCTCCTTCTGCATTTGTTTATTATTTAGTTATTTGTTTCTATCAGTATGGACTTGCAGATGTTGTTTACTCTATAAGTTATAAGCCATTACTATCATTATTTATTGTATTGTTCAAAGTGACCCATATTTGGCCATTGGGAGCTCCTTTAAATTGATTCCTGTGCCTTTTCAACATAACTCCTTGTTTTTTGAGCAATTCCTTGCTTTCTAGGAGCACAAGATCTCCTGGGCTCATCTTGTATTATATTTTCCCTGCTCCAGCCTGGAAGCAAGTATTTTCCCAAGAAACACTGGTTTCTTTTATTGGAAAATGGTATTTAGAAACCAAGATGTGAATGATGGGTATCCTCATTACTACTGGAGTGTTACTGCCTCTAGGATTTGTCAGTGTACAGAGCTGAAATATGTGTATGACACATGCATACAAAGATCTATATATCTTTCCAGTTCTGTGTGTATGTGTGTGTGATCATGAATTCAGACTGATTCTACAGAGTTCATTCTTCCCTTTCTTTCCTTTTCTTTTTTTTTTTTTTAAACTGAGTCTTGCTGTACTGCTCAGGCTGGAGTGTGGTGGCGCCATCTTGGCTCGCTGCAACCTCTGCCTCTTGGTCTCAAGCGATTCTCCTGCCTCAGCCTCCCGAGTAGCTGGGATTGGCATGTGCCACCACGCCCTGGTCATTTTTGTATTTTTTGTAGAGACAGGGTTGCCACCACGCCCTGCTCATTTTTGTACTTTTTGTAGAGACAAGGTTTTGCCATGTTGGCCAAGCTGGTCTCAAACTCCTGACCTCAAGTGATCTGCCTGCCTCAGTCTCCCAAAGTGCTGAGATTACAGGCCAACTTTTTAACTTATTGTTTAATAAGTAAGCAGGTTTTCCCTCTTTTTTTTTTTTTTTTTTTTTACCCCATGTAATTTATTTGTTGAATATGTTGGGTCATTTGTTCTTTAGAGTTTTTCACATTATGGATTTTGCTGACTGTTTCTGTAATGTCATTTGACTTATTTCTCTGTTGACTCTATTTCTAGTAAAGTGGTAGTTTAGATAAGATGCATGGTCAAATTCAGGTTAAATTTTTTGCCAAGATTACATCATAAATGGTCATTTGTACTTTCAGATATTTGATAGTCCCTCTTTTTGTGATGTTACTAGCTATTGATCATTTGCAAATGGTGATAATTTGATTTCATTATTCCTTCTTTTATAGCTGAATACGTCTATAAAGAGAAACTTGGTTTTTCATCACCTGTTTAGTTACCCTGAGGTGCAGCTCATACAGGAAAGTCAAACCAAGTTCCCTAGAATCCTCTGATGGTGACTGTATTATTAGCTTTCTATTGCTGCTTCAACAAATTACCACAAACTTGGTGGCTTAACAATACAAATCTATTATCTTGCAATTCTAGAAGTCAGAAGTCTGAAATGGGTCCCACTGGACTAAAATCAAGGTGTTGGCAGGGCTGCATTCCTCCTGAAGGCTCTAGAGGAGAGTCAGTTCCTTGCCATTTCCAGCTCCTAGAGCCTACCTGATTTCTAGGTCTGAGTCCCCTTTCCATCCTGAGAACCAGCAATATATTTGCATATATGCAGGTTATACTGATTGTGCTGTTCTAGGGACTGTACTTTAGAACCACTGCTTTAAAGAACCCTGTTCTTTTTTTATAGGAAAAGGCATTTAGAGACTCTAGTCTGGATACCAAGGAGGACACCGATTCTAACCTTTTTTAGGGAAAGAAAGGAAACAACAGAAAATAGAAGTTCATATTGATATTTCAAATTCACATTTAGAGTGACAAGTTTTAACTTCTTTTATGTTTGTATTTCTTTTCTACTTAAGGTTTTGGGTTTTATGACAATAATTGTTTAATAAATATATATGTTATATATACTCACACAGTTTCAGAATAACATTACCAATATCATTACTTATAACATGATTACTAAAAACAGTGTAAGATTTTTTTACAACCTCTTTTGTACTTAGAGAAATATCCCACTAGGGATGTACAAATTATTCTGCTTCAAAGTTATTGAAATAATTTCTGTCTGTTGGATTAACCAGTTAACTGGTTACAAAGTTAGATTCTTTTGTTTGCTTGCTATTTTTTCAGTTTTAGGGGATTTTTATTTTATTTTTAAGATAATTGTGTAAACATTTAAATGATTGCAATGACACATCTGTAAAATGAGTTCTAGTCTCTATCTTTGTCTCTTCTACCTTATTCTCTCTTATACCTTATAGGCAGTGATTTAATTTGTTTTATGGTTAAATAAATGGCAGTATGCTATCCATACTTATTTCTCTTGGGTCTCTGCTGCTGCCATACACATTTAACAAAGTATTCCGAAGATTACTTTAGGGCAGTATATTTATATATATAGAGAGAGTCCTCATTCCTTTTCCTTTATAGCTTAGGAGTGCTCCACTGTGAGAATGTACCATAGTTTATTCCTCTGTTGATGGACATTTGGATTGTTTACAGCCTTTTGCTATTATGAGTAGTGCTTCAGTATTATAAATAGTATACATATTTAAAGGTAGTCACAATCATTCTGTATACAGTTTTTTTTTCCTTTTTCTATACCATGGGAATAACATGAACTTTTTAAATGTTATTATAAATTCTTTGTAAGTGGTAGTAAGACAGTGTTTTTCCTGATTGTGAAGATAATACAGGATTATATAGAAATTGTGGAAACTTAGAAAAATAAGTAAGTAAAAATCAGTGGAAAATTACCCACAGTTCCTCTACTTAGATATACTGTTGTTGTTTTGATGTGTTACCTCATAGCCTTATGTCATTTATATTAACATTTAGAAAATAATGAGCATCTTATTATCTGTACAGTTGAATACTCTGGTTTGTTTTGACTCATAATTGTGGGTGTGTGTTTTTTAAATACCATACTCTATAATTATTTCTCTGTTGTTGACTATCTAGTTTCTTTCTGGTTTTCCAACATTTTAAATAATATTGTGATAAATTATCTGTTCATAAATCTTTTGCCAAATTTCAGATTATACTTATAGTGGTTTTTGTAAGATTTTAAGTGAGAAGGAAATATACACTTGTATATTGCCTTAAATACATCTATTATCTTCCTCTCTTATAGCAGTAATTTAGCAAGTCAAACACATAAGAGATTGAAATTTTTGTCAAGTAAATTCCATTTTTTCATTTTCTTCTGGTAGGATCTTAGAAATGAGGTTGAAAAATTACGCAATGAAGTGAATGAAAGAGAGAAAGCAATGGAAAATCGTTACAAGAATCTTTTGAGTGAAAGCAGTAAAAAATTGCACAATCAAGAGCAAGTGATCAAACATCTAACAGAAAGTACCAATCACAAGGACATGTTACTTCAGGTACTGTAACTTTTGTATTTAAATTTTTTCATTTGGCATGGGTTGTTTTTTAAAAACAATTCTTTTGCAGAAATATTTATGATTACAGTAATCATTGCTATGTTTCAGAATACTTTAGAGCTTTCATGATGTCATTTGGGCTTCAGCCACCAGGGAGGTAAGTGTGGTGAAACAGATACTCAGAGAAGGGAAGAAACGTATCCTGGGTCATATGATGACTACATAGCAGAGCCTAGAGTCACGCTCAGGCTTGTTTTGCCCTAGTGCTCAGGCTACTTCACTGAGGCTCTTCTATTGCAAATATTTCCTGTTACTTATTTATACCATGCTCTTTCACTCCCCTTTACTTTTCTTCTGACTGTTCCTTTTTCTTTAGGAGTACCCTTCTTGTTGATCATGTAGTGAATTTTTGAGATTCACCTCAGACTTACAGATAACCATGATGGAGTAAACACAGGCATTTAACTCTGCTTCCTACAGAAACCTCATTAAAATAACAGTGAAAGAATAAAAAGGTATAAACCCACAGGGACTAACTAGGAGAATGGAAGGAGGTATAATAGCAAATGTGAGTTGTCAACAGAATTTTGGATAAGTGTGGCTTGTAGACAAAAGAGGTAAAAAGAAAAAAAAGACAGAAAAAAATTTGGCTAAGTGGATGGGTGACCGTGTTAAGGGCATAGGATTCAGCTTTCTCCACACAGCTACATGCCTTTGGGACAAAAAGCCAACAAGAAGCAAGCTGATTTATGCTACAGAACCCCAGAAAGGCATGGCATGCATTGGATATACCTGGTAACTTTAAAAATGGGAGACTGGCTGGAATTCTAAGCAGTTGTAGGTGACCCTCTCCTCACAAGCAGGAGATCTCTGGAGACCTTAAACCAGAGAAGCTCTGGCTATGGGGTCACCAGATGTAACTGAAAGCAGGAGTGACCACTTAAGTGAAAACAGGGAGGGAGTGGAAGTGTGCATGCCCAGCAGTGAGATGCTTCGGAGGGGAGAAACAACAGAAAGATGCTGACAATTGGGGTTCCTCCAGCAAAATACCTGGGCCCCCACCTGAGCACCTCACTGTGAGGCCACCTTTGACAGATCCTTTCCACACTCTCAGAGCTGCTGAATACTTCTAACCCCTAAAAGTAGGTGGATGGCCTGGGTTTATCAAATAGGAGAAAAGAATTTAGGAGGAAAGATGACCTGGCGTGGTGGCTCATGCCTGAAATTCCAGCACTTTGGGAGGCTGAGGTCGGCAGATAACCTGAGGTCGGGAGTTCAAGACCAGCCTGACCAACATGGAGAAACTCCGTCTCTACTAAAAATACAGAATCAGCTGGGTGTGGTGGCACATGCCTGTAATCCCAGCTACTCGGGAGGCTGAGGTGGGAGAATTGCTTGAACTTGGGAGGCGGAGGTTGCAGTGAGCCGAGATCGTGCCACTGCATTCTAGCCTGGGCAACAAGAGCGAAACTCCTTCTCAAAAAAAAAAAAAAAAAAAGAGTTAAGACAAAGGCCAAACAGAGCAGAGGTACATAGAAGAAATAAGAAACATGCAAGGAGGAAAAAACAAGACAGCTTTTAAAAATCCAAAAATTCAGGCTATAACACCTTTAGATAAGGCTCTGACAAAAAAGATATTTGGAAAAGAAGAATGACCTATTGGAAATTGAAAGTATGATTGCAAATATAAAAATGTTTAAAAGAAGAGTGAGAAAAGTTGGAAGATAAAGTTGAGTCTTTCAGAAAATAGAAACAAATAAAAAGATGAGAAAATGGGAGAGAAAAGATAAGAAACCTAGAGGCTTGATAGAAGAGGTCCAAAATATGACTAATAGGAGTTCCAGAAAGACAGAACAGGCAAAGCAGAGGGAAGGAAGTTTTCAAAGTAATAAGGGAAAATTCCCCAGCATGGAAGGACAACTGTTTCTACATTGAAAGGGCCTGCAGTGTTTCTAGCACAAAGAATGAGAAAAGACCCATACCCCATGGTGTGTCATTTTGAAATTTCGGAACACAGGGATAAAGAGAGGACCTGAAAGCCTTCCACAGAGAGGAGAATACAGGGCACATACGAAGAACCCACATTTGGAATGACATCAGAATTCTCAGCAGCAACATTGGAAACCAGAAGATGGAAGAGCAATGCTTTCAGATTTTGAGGAAAAGTGATTTCCAATCCAGCGTTCTGTACTCAGCTAAGCTGTCAGCAAGTGTGAGGGCAGAATAAAGGCATTTTCAGACATTTGGTACCTACGGTCATCTGCCTTCTATGTACTCTTTTGCAGGAAGCTCTTGTAGGATGATTCCATATGTATAAAGGAATAACCAAATGGGAGAGAGGTGGGCTCCAGAAAGTAGGGAATTCACGTGGCATGTGGTGAAGGGAAGTCCTGGGATGAGAGCTGAGCTGCTTATGTAGAAAGCCCAGATTTGAACTCTTGAGGGCTTCAGTTGGGATTTCTCCAAGAAACTAAAATGCAAATGGTCGATTTTTTGATGTGTGATCACAGAACACTGTATGGCTAAGTCGTGAGCAGTATCTGCTTGGCTATAATGTAAATGCAGAATATTGATTTAACTAAAATTGGGATATTATTAGGAAAAGTGTTGAGGGACAGAGGATATAAGAGCTGAATCCTTAAACTTCTATGGTAGGAGCCAGTAGGTGAAAATCTAAACTTAAGAAACCAAGCCATGTAAGAATAGGAATGTAATATAGAAACATGGAGGTATATAGCAGAAGAAATAGCTAAAGAGTTGAAAGTTGTTTTTCTCTGGGAGTGGGATTTGGGAGGTGAGAGGAGAGGAGAGGGAGAGGACACCATTTTCCATTTAAGCCTTGTAGTACTATTTGACTGTTAAACTATATATATCTGTAGTTGGACTTTAGAAAAATGAAAATGAATGGTGTAATTTAAGCACACCTGTATTGTTACAATTCTAGAAAGTCAGTATTGGTTATTTGATTCCTAGTTCTTTCTATTACAGTTCAATGGGTTTTTATAAAGAATTACCTCTACTTTTTTGTGTTCACCTAATTTCTTATAAAAATTTGAAAGGATACATTAATTCTACTAGGTGCTTAGGAATAAGATATGGTTCTTACCCTTAATTTTTGACAAGAGTGGACAGAATCCTAGTTCAGGAGTTACCAGGATTTTAAATAGTTAGGAATAGATTCCATGCAGAAGACTAGCGATACGGTCTCCAGTCCTGTTGTGTTGTTGGATGTTAGATCTTCTGAAGGGTTCAGTCAGTGGAATCGTATTGTGTGTGATCATGAGGAAGCCTTTCATATGTGACCAGACCCTAAAGCAATATTTGCAGTGCTGGCTTTTTTTCCTGGAAGTCAGATCTCCTTTTGGATATGGACAGTTCAAGTTTTAACCAAATTTGTAACATTTCAAGAGAGATTAAGACTTCGTTGGGTTTTGATGTACAAGTCTTGTAATCATCTCCATAAGCCTGCAGGGCTGGAAACGATCGCATCCTGAGCAGGATGCACCTAGGTTTGGAACCAGGTCTGTTGGGTCAGAGCCTGACTTTGTCCTCCACACCCTCTGGAAGGTAGTCACAGTAGGGGCGAGCGAGTGTGGTTTGTAGCGACTGCCACCGTCCTTGGCTCTGCTTTGCTGGCATGCAGCTATTCTGCAAATTGTAACAGCATAGAAATGGAGTTGCATGACAGTTTTGTGATTGCCTAGTATTTTGGAATGATGAAAATTATGTAGGGGATATAGGAATACTGTGAAAAAACAAAATATTTTTCCTTAAGGAGTTTGGGACAATTTCTTAATATTTTTTTCTTGATGTCAACTTCCTTATAATTTGTTTTATTTCATTAGAAATTCAATGAAAAAGATCTGGAAGTAATACAACAGAACCGCTATTTAATGACTGCAGAGGATCTCGAGCTCAGGAGTGAAGGCTTAATAACAGAAAAGTGCCCTTCTCAACAGTCACCAGGCAGCAAAACCATCTTCTCTAAGGTAAGCTTGACTGAAATTGGACATTCACATGCGAATGGATTCATATACTTTTTTGAAACATACTTGATAACTCCTTTGATCTAGAGATCCTCAAATGCCTTCTTGTTGATAATTGAGCCTACAACAGGTAGGAGGAGGAGTTCTTAGCCTACCACGTTACAGATTAATATCCTTCAACTGAGTATTAGTCTTTGCACTGCACACGAAACTGAGAAATCACAGCTTGTTGAACCAGAAGCCTCATTTGCTCTATCAGGGCTCACCTCTTAAGAACTGTGTAATCCCAAGTGTTTTGTAAGTGTTCCTGTTTAAATTCACACAAAAAATGGCACAGCAGGCCCTTCCTTATCTGGCCCCAAATCATCTTTCCAATCTCATTTTCTTTCATCTTCAGCAATAGCAAATTTCTTATAGATTCCTGAAAACACCATGTTTGTACCTCTCTGTGTCTTTGCATGTGTAGTTCCATCTGCCTGGAATGATTTTTCCCTCCTTGTTTACATGCTAACTCCTGAACATCTCTGCAGGTGCCATCTTAGTGTCACCTTCTCTCTGGAGTCTTTCCTGATCCTGCTTAGTAGTGCGGTCCCCTCAAGTAAGTGCCCCTCATGGCACTTACTCTGTGCATTGGAGTTATGGGATCCACCTGTCTGCTTCCCCTCACCTGGGCTCCTGTATAGCACCGTGGGCAGGCACTTCTAGGGTAGGGAACTGGCACATGTTCCAAATCCCAGTGTTCAGCCTGTTGCCTGGCTGTGTAAATATTTGTTGAGTGAATGAATGAATAATGCAACCAGGCAGCCAGATATGGGAAAGGAAAAGAATTAACTTTAAAAAAAAAAAAAAAAAAAAACTGGCTTAAATTAAGTTCATACATTTGGAAGATAGAGAACTCTTATGCAAATTAGTTTTCTGATGAATGGCTCTGATTGTGACTTGCAGGTTTGTGAAGGGTGATTCTCAAAATAATTAACAACTGGTACAGCATGGGCATCAGCTTTCAGAAAAGACTTGGGCACTAGGGCTGGAGTGGGGACCTGGAGGCCTGCTCCTGTGCCAGGCACAAACCCTGTAGTTTAAAAACTACTAGGGACCTCCTGGGAGGTCCCTAGGGAGGGACCAGGGCAGCTAGCGTGGTTGGAGTGGATGGACCAGGGTTTATTTTCCAACTGGTGTGGAAGTATTTCAGTATTTTAGCAACCAGTGCTAGCCACTGTGCTGTGTATCTGCTCAGTATCAGAGCTTGTCCTGGGGGTATCATTGGCTGAGCAGTTGGAGCTGTTTCTTAATTCTGACCGTTTGTGTATTTGCATTTTGCTGTCTCTCTTGAGAGCATCAGTATGGACTTGTGGAGCCCTTGGGCTGGGCCAGCAATCTGGAGGCCTGGATTTCTCCCTGTTGACTCTGTCATTTCACTTACGTAACCTGGGGCAAGTCTTATAACTAAATCTCAGAGGGCTAATATTTTGTGATTCTAACTAGCGTTTAGTTAATTTGATTTTGACCAACTTTAGTTGGCTAAGATTCACATTAACCTGTAATATAAGGCATAGTCTGTTTCACACCAAGATAGCAGCTCATCAGGTTATTTTAGATGGAAATATCTTCATTACTATGAATGTATTTAGTTAAACTAAAATGCTATTTTGAATCACATTTTAGTCATGTAAAAAGTATCTCCTGTAATCCCAGCACTTTGGGAGGCCGAGGCAGGTGGATCACGAGGTCAAGAGATCAAGACCATCCTGGCCAACATGGTGAAATCCCGTCTCTACTGAAAATACAAAAATCAGCTGGGTGTGGTGGTGCGTGCCCTTAATCCCAGCTACTCACGAGCCTGAGGCAGGAGAATTGCTTGAACCCGGGAGGCGGAGGTTGCAGTGAGCCGAGATTGTGCCACTGCACTCCAGTCTGGCGACAGAGCGAGACTCCTCCCAAAAAAAAAAAAAAAAAATTATGTAAATATTGAACAAAATGTTTATAAATTTATTGGACAGGTTGCGTATTTTAAAATTTCAGTTTTATCATTTTGTTTTTAGTTTTTTTGTGCTAGGTGATGTACTTCATATGACCAGAAATATAAAGGTACTGGCTGGCATTTTGGTAATATTCAGATCCTGGTGATATTTAAATTACTGTGTCAAATACCTAAGTATTTTAGCAAAGGCTTTAATTGTGTTCTGCAAGATGAATTGCAAATTGTAGATAGAGATTTACTGGCCAGGCATCATAGCTCACACCTGTAATCCTAGCATTGTGGGAGGCTGAGACAGGAGGATTGTTTGAGGCCAGGAGTTGGAGACCTGTCTTAGCAACCTAGTAAGACCCCAGCATCTACAAAAAAAAAAAAAAAAAAAAAAAAAAATTATAAAAATCAGGTTGGCATAGTGGTGCATGCCTGTAGTCGCAGCTACTCAGGAGTGAGGCAAGAAGATTGCTCAAGCAATCTTCTTGCTTGAGTTTGAAGCTGGAGTGAACTATGATCGTACCACTGCACTCCAGCCTGGGTCACAGAGTGAGCCCCAGTCTCTTTATTTATTTATTTATTGAGATAGAGTCTTGCTCTGTTACCCAGGCTGGAGTGCAGTGGCATGATCTTGGCTCACTGCAACCTCCACCTCCCGGGTTCAAGTGATTCTCCCACCTCAGCCTCCCAAGTATCTAGGATTCTAGGCATGTGCCACCATGCCTGGCTAATTTTTTTGTAGTTTTGGTAGAGACAGGGTTTCACCACGTTGGCCAGGCTGGTCTCAAACTTGTGACCTCAAGTGATCCTCCTGCCTCATCCTCCCAAATTGCTGGGATTACAGGCATGAGCTACCTCTCCTGGCTGAGACCCAGTCTTTTTAAAAAACAAAACAACAGCAACAAAAGAATTTTAAGTGATCACTTAAGAATTGTAAATTTCTGGTGTCACTTTAAGAAATCCCAACTGTTGCAGCCTTACAGTCGTACCCCCCACTCGCCCGGCCCCAAGAAAGGTGTGCTTTTCAGATCATAGTTCTTTCTTTGTAGAAAATGTGAATTTATTCTGCTGTGCCCTTGGCTATTTTGTGTTGGTTTAGACTTTATCCTCTGCCCATTTCTAGAAAGAACTTGAGGCTATGATCATGTCTCCATAGACTCTGAGCAGTCTGTTTTCCTTCTAATCATTGTGTGATCCTGAGAATTAATGCTAGATGACTAGGGAATTGAAGAATAGAGAGCACAACACACTGACCATATTTAACTTACTGCAGCCAGAGATTGATAGCTTGGTTATTGACATGGTTGGGACATCGCTGCTGAATTTTCCGAGTATTAAAATTAATGTCTTTGTTGCAGGGCTGTGACATAGCTACTGAAATAGACCCCATCTACCTACCAGGCCTCTAAATTGCCTGATTACCAAGAAGTGATCCATTAAGCTTTCTCATTACAGGTCTGCTGTCTCTTTAGATGTGGTCTGCACGTTACATGTGTTTCCTTCAAGTCATTAAGGAAACTATGGTAAAGTAGAAAATGCCCGGCTTTGGCGTCAGAATGCCAGTCCTACTACTCACTAGGTCTGTGATCTTGGGCAACTCACTTAATGCCTCTGAAACTCACTTTCCTCATCTGTGAAGTGGACAGTTACATGCCTGCCTTTTGAGAGGATTAGAAATAATGGAAGTGGATTAGTTAAGGTTCTTTTGGTTGCAGGCCACAGAACCTCACATTGGATAGTTTGAGCACAACCACCGTGAAAGGGAATATTGATTGGGAGCAGACTTGAGGCTGTCACAGATGCCAGGCAAGACTTGAGCAGCCACACTTTGGGGAGGGTGAAACTGGGGCAGCACCATGGACCTCAACCACAGAAGTCCCAGACTCTAGGGCTCTGTCGGTGACATGACACAGACCCAGAGACTCCCAGCTGTCTGGTGTCTTGGTTTAAATCTCTCAGTTCTTGGGAGAGAACTGTACTGGTCTAGCAAGTGAGCCCAGGGCCTGGCTTACAAAGGAGAGGAGTCTTCTTGGGACTCACCCCTGTGTTGTAGGGACAGTTCTCAGGTGAGGCAGGGGAATGGGGTGAGCGGGGTGGTCATTCCAAGGGCCATGGAGAACACATCGCAGAGCCAGACACACAGCAGATGTGCAGCAGTGATGAGTCTTCTCTGCACTGAGAGACCTACTGTCTGGGTTGCTTTTTGTTTGGAGGGGCTGGGTGGAGAGGGGAGAGTGGGGGTTGGTTGCTCCTGCTGAGCAGGTGCTTCTCATGACTCCCCTCTGGGCATCCTGGCTGCCTGCCTGTGTGTCGAGGAGATCTACTGGTTTGTCAGCTCTGCTGAGGGAGCCAAATGACTTCATTCTAATGGGGCATGATTCAACACAGGGGAATAGGTGATTGATGAAATGGGACCCAAATGGCTTCAAAGAGTTCATTTATTTAACATGGGTAAGCAATTTGCTTCTAGGAAGACGTTGACTCGCTCTGACTTCCATTATGCAAAATATCCCCAGGAATCTCTGCTCTTAAGATTCATATCGGTCTCTGAGTTCCCCTCTTACCTACTTAATCATCAGTTTAGCAATTATTTGTGGCAGCGTTTGATTTGTGCCAGACACTGTGCCTAGCTCAGGACACTGCTGCTTGCCAGGAGCCCTCAGCCTTGTAAACAGGTGGCTGGCATGCCAGCTCTGGGGGCTGGAGGAGGACATCTTTGTCAGTCAAGGAAGGGCTTCCTGATGAGGTTTGGCCTGAGCAGATCCTGTAAAGTGCTCTCGAGTGTGCCAGTGGAGAATGGTAAATGACAGCACTGGGTCTTGGGGGGATAGGCATCCCCCCCGGGACTCTGGTGGAGGGATTTCCCAGTTCCACTGAGATGCAAGGGCAGGAGGAAGGGAGGAGGGCAGGAGCTGAGGAGAGTGGTGGCCTGAAAATTCTGAGGAACCTTTGGAATAGCTGCCAGAAAGAAGAAAAGAGCCTGAACTGAGATCCAGGCCCTGGTGTGGCAGGCAGTGGGCTGTCCTCCTGTAGGACTAACAGCCAGCCTGCAGAGGTCCTGTTAAGATACTGGGTCCTACAGGTATATATTCCTGGAGTGTCTGTGCCATCCATCAGAAATCCATGTTTACTGTTTTTTTCCCCAATCTTTCTTGGTTGGCTTTGGCGTTGCATACTTAGGCACAAATTCTGACTTTACCAGTTACTAGCTTAGTGGACTCTAACAAGTTACTTCTGTTCCTACAGAGTCAGTTTCATCATCTGAAAAATGAGAAGTTCCCTGGAATGCTGTGGCAACTAGAGATAATATGTCAGTAGCTAGTATAGCACTTGGAGCATAAGAATAATGGTAACAGCTGACATTTATCAAATGTTTGCTTCACGCCAGGCATCATTCTGAGAACTTTGTCTGGATTAACTCATTTAATCTCTTTTATGCTCCAGGACGTATGTAGAATTATTACCACTACTTAGAGGTAAGAATATTAGCATACAGGCCAGGCACGGTGGCTCACGCCTGTAATCCCAGCACTTTGGGAGGCTGAGGCAGGAGGATTGCCTGAGCTCAGGAGTTCACGACCAGCCTGGACAACACGGTGAAACCCTGTCTCTACTAAAATACAAAAAATTAGCTGGGTGTGGTGGCGTGCGCCTGTAGTCCCAGCTACTTGGAAGGCTGAGGCAGGAGAATTGCTTGAACCCAGGAGGTGGAGGTTGCAGTGAGCAGAGATTGCGCCACTGTACTCCAGCCTGGGTGACAGAGCAAGACTCCATCTGAAAAAAAAAAAAAAAAGGAAAGAAAAAGAATATTGACATAGAGAGGTTGAGTAACTTGTTCAAGGTCGCATAGTTCATAAAGTCACACATTCTTAATCATCACTGCCACTCATGCTAGGTGCTCAAGAAACAATAGATTTTCTTATTTTGTCACTGGCTTTTCTTATTTTCTTTAGCTGGCCTTTATGTGGCTGACAGTGATGATGTTACCCTTGCCAAGCACCCAGATGCATTGTATTTAAGGCATCTATTATAGGGCAGTGATGGGTGGGCTGAAGAGAATGGGCCTTGAAGCCCACACCTGGCCTCACCATCCTGACCTTCAGCATGAACAGCCTTCTGTGTCACAGTTTCCTCATCTCTAAAATAGGGAGTGTAGTAACACGTAAGCACATTGGGTCATTGTGAAGATTAAATGAGAAAATGCCTGGAAAGCACTTAGCATGGTGGCTGGCGTACTGGTCCTGGAGAGTCTCCTTGGTCTTGACGTCCTCTTTAAATCCTTCCCACTCTTCTCTGAGGTCCTCTGGTTGCACACGTGGTTGTGTGCAGGTGGGAGCTGAGAGAATCCCACATGATTCTGTTGTTGTGTACAAAAGGCATTTGGGAACTCCTTGTGCCAGTGACATGTGGCATGATTTACAAAAGGGCCTGACATTTCCAGCAGTCTGGATGACTAACTTATCATGACCAGACTGGTGGTTTAGCATTTAAAAGCTTTAATTGGCAGGTGGTGCCTTGGCCTTGTTTTGTCAGGATTGGAAGCATAACAGTATTCCCCTGGATCAGGGCTTCTTCACCATTTTTGCCCTCTGCATACTGTTGGGAATCTACTGAAGCCAGAGACCCCTATCTTGAAAAACTGTTTAAATGCATATAATATATATGTAGTATTCTAAAGGAAACCAAATATTTTGAAATTAGGTTATCAAAATATAAATTATGCTATGGAAATGGTGCTTCCTTATTAATATGTTAAATAGTAAGATATGGTGGTGAGTATAAGTAACTACCGTAGTTATGAAGTAGTGATAAGAATGAATATTTTGAGATATCTGCAATATATACAAAATAACTATTTCTTTTGATGACAAAGTCAAGGTAATACCACTAGTATTACTATGGTTTGTAGCAATAGCAGTATTCCTTCAATTCATAATTGAAGGTAATGCTAAATTTCAGTTAGAGGTTAGTGGAAATAGAGATGTAATTTTTTTCCCTTGCTCATATTCCTTCAGCCTGTAAATTTTAATCAGGTTGAAAACCCCTGTCGTAGGTGGTATCTTAGCTTTAGGAGAAAACGCAAGTTAATGTGAACTACAAAGGCTGTTTGCAGCCCCAATTTCTTCACGAACTGAACATCCGCCTCCAGCATTTAGAGAGCACTTAGTTGGTGATAGGCACTGTGCTGGATATTCTGTATGCATTAACTTCATTTTAACGTTTTTTCTTATTTTGAAATCGTTTTAAATTTGTAGAAAAGTACAAAAATAAAGGATTGTATTTTTTCTGAGCCTTCTGAAAGTTGCCAATGTGAGCCTTGTCCCCTCTGAATGTGCTAGTGTGTATTTCTTATAAACAGCAACATTCTCCTGTATAACATCAGCCCAGCCACTACAACCAGGAAATTAGCCTGGACTAATTTCCTTCAACACTACCTTCTAATCCTCAGACTCATTCGAATTTCATCACTTGTCTCAGTAACACCCTTTGTAGCAAAAGGATCCTATTTAGGATCATGCCTTGCATTTAATAGTCATGATTCTTTAGTCTTTAGTTTGGAGCAGTTCTAAAATCTTTCCTTGACTTTCATAACCTTGGCACTTTTGAAGTGCCCAGGCCAGTTATACCGCAAGAATGTCCCTTCAGTTTGGGTTGTTTGTCTGGTGTTTTCTTGCTGATTAGATTCAGTTTATGCATCTTTGGCAGGAATATCATGGTAGCGATGCTGTATTCTTCTCATTGTGTCCTGTCTGATGGTACACAGTTGGATTTGCCCCATTACTAGCCATGCTAACTTTGATAACTTTATCAAGATAGTGTCTGCCAGGTGTCTTGACTGTCTAGTTATGCTTTTTTCCCTTTGTATTTAATAAATATTTTGGGGGAGGTGTTTTGAGTCTATGTAAGTATCTTGATCTTCAAACTTTTACCTACTAGTTTTAGCATCCTTTTGTGTTTCTTGGTAATTATTTATTACTGTGATGGCTGGCAAAGGGTGATTTTTCTAATTCCCTCATTCTTTCTACATTTATTAGTCATCATTTTTCTATAAAGAAAAACCTACTCTTTTCCCCTCCTATTCATATCAGTATGGATTTATGAATTCCTATTTTATTTGGTGGATTATAATCTGTTACTATCAGTTATTATCAGTGGATTATAAATCATTACTCATTATTTATTTCAATGCTCAAATCATCCCCAGATTTTGCTTGTGGGAGCCTTTCCAAACTGGCTCTGTGTGTCCTTTTGACAACATTCCATCATTATTTAAGCATTTCTTTAAAAAATTTTTTCAGCTTTGAGTTATAATTGACAAATTAAAATTGCATATATTTAAGGTACACTAGATGTTTTGATATATATATATACACACACATTGTGAAATGATCACCATAATCAAATTAATTGGCATATCTATCATCTCACATTGTTACCTTTTTTTGTGTGATGAAAAAACCTAAGCTCTACCTTCTTGGCACGTTTCAAGTGTAAAATACAGTATTTTTTTGTTTGTTTGCTTGTTATTTCAGGGTCTTGCTCTGTTGCCCAGGCTTCAGTGCAGTGGCATGATTCTAGCTCATTGCAGCCTCAAACTTCTGGGCTCAAGGGATCTTCCTCTCTTAGCCTCCCAAGTAGCTGGGACTATAGGGGCATGCCACCATATCCTGCGCATGTTTTTATTTTTTACTTTTTTGTAGAGATGGGGTCTCACTATGTTGCCCAGGCTGATCTGGAACTCCTGGCCTCAAGTGATTCTCCCACCTTGGCCTCCCACAGAGCTGGGATTATAGATGTGAGCCGCTGTGCCTGGCCAGGATATTGTTACTTATAGTCATCATGCTGTGTATTACATCTCTGGAATTTATTCATCTTGCATAACTAAAACTTTGTTCCCTTTCACCAGCATCTCCCATATCCTCATCCCTCCAGCCCCTGGCAACCACTGTTCTATAAGCACTTCCTCATATTTTGGCACAATAAAATGCTATACACATATCTTTTGTTGTTCCTGATTTTCCTTGTCCTGATATGGGAATCAGCAATTTCTCCAGGTATCCCCGGTTCCTTACAGTGCACAGTTTATATTTCATCTGCTCCATAACTCCACAAGGCAGTGGTAATTGTCCACCAGTTTTACAGGTGAGAATACCAAGGCTCCTAATGAGTAACTTCCCAGAGTCTCAGAACTGGTAGGTGGCAGAACCAAATTTTGAACATTAAAAAATTTCACATTTGTGAATGTGAATTCATAAAACGACATCCCCATTTCATAAATGAGGAGACCGAAGCTCAAAGAGTTTTGTTAAGCTACTTACCCAAGATCATACCTCCAGTAAGTGGCAGAGATCCAACTCAGATCTCTTCATCATCACTGTGCTCTGGATGCCTCCCAAGAATGCCTCAGTTGACCTCTTCTACTTGACTGTCACTAAATCCCTAGTCCCCAGTACTTGCCAGGTTTTGGTTTGTGAATTTCTCTTCTTTGGAGCAACAGTGAATATGGAAAGACATTTTTTTGTAGTGTTGTAGAAACGGTGACCAGCAGCTCTGAGGGATGACAGTCTCACGATGGGCTAATCCCATAACTGATGTGTCTTCCTAGCAGCTGTTGGAAGCAGTATTGGAAGCTCAGCTCTCAGCTTCGTTCTGGGATAAGTGATGGACAGTCATTCCCCACTCCTCCTGAAGGTGGTGCTCTCTGACTGTGGCCTGAGCCAGAGCCAGGCACAGGGCCTCACCTTTGTTTGGTTTTAAAAACTGGGACTAGCTACATATGTTTGCATAATATAAGGATGTACTCTTTCAAAATTCTTCCCTTAATGTCAAATGCCCTTTGTCATTTCCAGGAAGAGAAACAATCATCAGACTATCAAGAGCTGATTCAGGTCTTAAAGAAAGAGCAGGACATCTATACCCAACTGGTCAAATCTCTGCAGGAATCAGACAGGTAAGGGTTTCTGTCTGGACATCATACATGTGAATGCGAACACACACACACACGCACCCCTTCAATCAGTGCTGGTGATCTCTAAGGCAGCAACACCCTGCCAGTTTGCTTATGGAGCTTATAAAGCTTGGGTGGCGATTGCACTATTTAATAGTCACATGCACCTGTTTTCTATCAAGAATTGTCTGATTTTTGGCAACAAAATTGATTACTTAGGTTTTAAAATCATGATTACTCAGGTTTTAAAAATACTTTATTGTATATTTAGAAAGTGCTTCTTTGTGTATTATCTCATATGATCCTCACAGCCTTTCTGTGAAGTAATAATAATGCTATCCCTGTTTTCTATAAGGTCATGAAAACTAAGATAGGGTAAGTTACTTGCTCAAAGTCACGCAGCTGTCAAGTGACAGAACCCTGGGACTCAAACAAGTCTCCCTGTCTCTGCAGAATTGCTGAAAAGAGTTGCTGCCAGCAAGGTGTGGTGGGGAGAGCCAACTCTAGGATTGAGAGGCCTTGTTCTAGCCCTGGCTCTCCCACTTTCTAGCTCTGTGTCCACAGGCAAGTGCTGCTCTGGGCCTCTGTCCACGTATCTGTACATGCAGGGTTGGCCTCAGGGATTTCTCAGAATTGAGAAATCCTTTTTTTTTTTGAGATTGAGTGTTGCTCTATTGCCCAGGCTGGAGTGCAGTGGTGTGATTTCTGCTCACTGCAACCTCCGCCTCCCAGGTTCAAGCGATTCTCCTGCCTCAGCCTCCCAAGTAGTTGGGACTACAGGCACGTACCACAACACCCGGATAATTTTTTGCATTTTTAGTAGAGACAGTGTTTCACTGTGTTAACCAGGATGGTCTCGATCTCCTGACCTCAGCATCCACCCACCTCCACCTCCCACAGTGCTGGGATTACAAGTGTTGGTCACCATTCTCTACACAGTGGGATGGGTACAGTTGAAAGGTATGATGTCTGGGATTCATTTCCAAACTGTGCAGAAGCTGAGGAGGAGGGTGGGGATATCAAAAGAACAAGATTGGCCCTGGTTCTCTGATCGTTGGGTCTGAGGTATGTGTAGATGGAGGAGCAGTTCATTATGGTAGTGTTTTTTTTTTTTTCCCTTTTATATATGTCTAAACTTTTCTATAATAAAAAGTTAAAAAAGAATCACCCCTCATTTCTCCCTCTTGTATGTCCTCTACTCTCACCATAGTGAACTCTTTATCGTTCCCTGGGCTATACCTTCACCTGTGTTTCCTACCCTTCTATTCTCAACCTTTCCCCTACTTTGTCTCCTCCCAGTCCTTTAGAATTTAGCTTGAATGTTACCTTTGTCAAGCGGCCCCGCTAATCCCCAGAACAGTTGCCTCTGTGTTTCTGCCCTGCGTGGGGAGGTCACCTTATGTAGGTCTGTGCCTGCTGTGCCTCCTCACCTCAGGGCAGGGGTCCCACCTTACTGTCTCGGCTCCCCAGGGCCTGGTACAGAGTAGGCACTTGGGAAATGTTCTGTGCAGGAATGCCCCTCCCCGCTGTGTTGATCTTCTAAATTATGAGATAATTTCCAGATTTTTTCATGGGAAATGAGTTTAGGGAAAACGAAAACATGCCGCTGAAATTCTGGGAGTAGGCGTCACTCTCTGAAAGTGAGTTTTTTCAAAAAACCTCAGCTGCTGGTCATTTTCACTTGGCGAGTGGTGTGGGGGGAGGTGGCGGGGGAGCGAGGGGTCGGTGGCGTGGGGGGTTGAGTCATGTGTGGAAACTCACAGAGGAATGGACACATTTCATTTCAATCCCACAGCTTCTCTGGATAGGAGCCAGGTTGATTCTGGGTACTGAGAGGCCTTGTGGGTGGATATGGTTGTGCCTGAGTCTTCTCAGCTTCATGAGGGGCTCCCAAGTTTCACAGGCTCTTTCTTAATGAATGAAAACTTGGATGGGACTGAGGCGGGTCAGGGCTAACTCAGACTAACAAGGACTAACCAGGACTAACAAGGATTCTTAAAAGGTTTCCTGTTCATCTTCAGACTTGTAATACATTTAGTAGGAGACAGACCTGGGTCCACATCTCAGCTGTGCCACTCAGCAGCCCTGAGCTCTTGGGTAAGTAATTTCTCACCCTGAGCCTCAGTGCGTTTGAGAAATTGAGATTGGCTGGTCTGCCTACTTACCTACCTACTTAGATATCTACCTACTTTACAGGGTTCTGTTGAAACCAGAGAGAACACTGTTTAAAGACCTAATACTTCCTGGCATGTAGTAAGCACTCAGTAAATGGTAAGATTTCTTAAGAATAATGACAACATGAAAAGCTTATATATGTCTTAATATTCCATTATGCAGAAACTTAGTTTGCAGGAGGTTTTTGATTCCTCAGACCTTGGCATATCCAGAGGGCAGAATGTGGGCTAAGGAAGGTAGAGCTCCTTTTTGTAACTCCAGCACTGTTCATTCTGGAAATTGGCAGGAAAGGTGGATGACCCTGGAGACAGATGATGTACTATGATTAAAATTGGAAAGGAAGGTCAAGAAGGGAGGAAACTCATTGTAAGAATGTGGTTGATCCTTTCACTTTTACATTTTTATTCTTCACAGCAGCACTTAGAAGTTGGCGGATTATCCCCAAATTACGGAAGTGGAAATATGCATTCTAAGACGCTGTGTATCACCCAGTGTTCCACAGTGAAGGATTATCAGTGCTCAGGTCGCCTTGACTCCCAAGCCAGGTTCTTGCTGATACACTCCCCATCTTGAGGACTAGCACCGTTTCCCTTTAACTCAGGATGTCTCAGCCTCAGCAATATGAGGCTTTGGGGCTGGATAATTTTTTTGTCATGAGGGCATGTCCTGTGCTTTGTAAGATGTTTAGCAATCCCCTGCCTCTACCATGGGAAGATTGGCACACCTGGTCCTCCCATGCCAGTTGTAACAACGCAGAATGTTTCCAGACATGGGCAAGTGTCCCCTGGGGGGTGGGGGCAAAATCATCTCCAGGTGATTATCGTTGCTGTAACTCATGAAAATCAGCAATCTTGGCTCATAAATATTATCTTCTGGATGGGAGTTGTTGGAGTATGTGGAAGGAGGGAAATGATGCTCGTTGAGCGTCTCATATGTGTTAGCCTCTGTCCTAATGTCTTTCCCATGTAACATCTCATTTATTCCTCAAAACAATCGCAAAGCAAAGGTATTATTATCCCCATTTTGTGTGAGGAAATCAGGACTCAGTTAGTTGAACTGGCTTGCTCAGTAGTGGTAACGTGCTATTTTGAGCTTGGATCTCTCTGACTCCTTGTTTCTGCTCCTGTCTGCCCCGCCCCAATTCAGGAAGAGGAAGGTTTTTGTTTCCTTCTGAGTGAAGCACCTTTTGTTCTCCCAACTCCTCACACCTTGAAAAGATTCTCAAGTTGGGAAAACATAAGTGACAGACACAGGAGCAGCAGCTGTGTACTTTTCACCCTGTCAGAAAATGGAAGAGGGAGTGAAGCAGTTAGCTTTCCTCAGCCCTAATCACAGAAGCGTCTCTAAAACAGCCTCCTTTTTTCCCCCTGGTTAAATGCCTCTGCAGCACGACCACATCCAAGCGAGTGCTGTGCTGTGACACCTCTGTGAGGTTTTTCATCAGCCTTACAAATTGATCATTATGATTGTCTTAAAATGGAACTAGGTACAAGTTGCTAGTGGGGCCCTTTCCCTTGCATGAAGACTGCTTCACGATGAACTGTCCTCAAAGCAGCAAGCATAGAAGATTAGACATCATGATTTATTTTCCTTCCAGTGTGTGTTGATTTATGTGTGCAGTTCGATGGATGGAGCTGGAAGTCTCTGAAGGAGAAGTGGGGCTTCTTTGAGGAGTCTGGCACACATATTTAGAGCAATTGCCTCTAACCATTCGGGGGCTATTGATCCCTTTTGAAAAATCTGATGAAAGCTTATAGGCCCTCTTCCTATTCATTCATTTTTTGCAGATAATTTCATGGCATTGATGGACCTTTTTAGGGAACCATAGGTGCTGGATGGAGAGTGATAGATCTCCTAGTATCTAAAAAAGAAGTCTGTCTGATTTGTTAATGTGTTTCAGTAGTCTTAAAAATGTTCATATACTTTGACCCAGTAATTGCATTGCTGGGAATCTTTCTTAAGAAAACAACCTGGATGTCAAACAAGGCTTTAACCACAGAGATGCACAGTGAAGCATTATTTATGCTATTCAGATGTCAGCTGGGGTCTCCATGTTCTTCTGAGAGCTGGATTTAAGTGGTTCCGATCTCTGCCAATTGCACATCAGTAGGAGTCCAAAGCCGTTCCTATGGATCCACACTGTCCAGTTCAGTAGCCACTAGCCATGTGGCTGTTCACATTTAAACTTACTGTAAATTTAATAAAATGAAACATTTAGTTCCTTGGTACATTAGCCACATTTTAAATGCTCAGTAGGCACCTGTAGCTAGTGGCTACTGTAGTTGACAGTGAAGGTATAGAATATTTCCATCACTGGAGAAAGTTCTGTTGGACAGGGCTCCCCAAGATTAATGCAGATTCTGGGAGGTGTGCATTTTCTTGGCCTCCTCTGGGTTTTGGGCTTCTAGTCCATGCAAGCTCTCTGTACAGCTTAACACTACGTCTCCTCTCCCAGAATAAAAATCCACTCATACTATGCATTTCTGAGTGGTTAATTCATCACAGTGGAGTTTTGTTGGCCCCTAATAGATTAGTCCTTTTCTCCCTCTTATTGTTGACTCACTATTCCTTTATTTTTTTCTCTTCCCACCTGTCCCCTACCCTTACTTCCAATATGACTCTTTTGAGGAGCGCAGCAGGAGTCCTCTGTCTCCCTTTCTTCTGAAGCCTGGGTGTCCAAGTGACACCCAGGCCCTGGGGAGCCTCTCTTTCTATACCCAACCCTCTCAGGGCATTGTTCAGAACAGAGACACGTTCTGGACTGGAGAATTACATTATTTTCACCTAGTTATGCCTATAGCAAAAATTTGCAAATGACCCAAGTATCCACTAATAGGGGATGAGTTAAAGTAAGTGGTAGGACATTCACCTAGTTTAATATTATATGGTCATTAAAAATGATGTTTGCAAATAATTGCTAAAAATATAGGGAATTATGAAGTGAGGAATGCATATCAGCATTGTATGTCTAGTATTATTTCAGCCATGTAAATTACTCATAGGGGAAAAGATTGGAAGGAAATACAGTCTGCCGTGTGTTAGTTGGTAGTAGGAGCGTGGTAATTTTTGTTTTCTTTATACTGTTGTATTTAAAATCTTCTATAGTGAACCTGTATTTACTTTTATAACCAGAAAAAAACACAAATGACATAAAAATCACAGGAACGCTTTCTGGGCTTTGCATCTAAAAGTACAAATAGGTCTGTTTTAAAACTTTTGGTGTCTTGTTTTACCAAGTATCAACAACCTGCAGGCTGAGTTAAACAACATTTTTGCCCTGCGGAAGCAACTGGAGCGGGATGTGCTTTCATATCAGAATTTGCGGAAGACCTTGGAGGAGCAGATCAGCGAAATTCGGAGGCGGGAAGGTACACACTTTATTCTATGTGCTTCTTTTTGGTTTTTCCACTTGGAGGGCATGAACTGAACTTCACCAGAGTCCTAAATATTTGTTAAGGGATGAAGCATACACAGGGTTTCGTCTGGAGATCCTTTTTGTGGTGACCATGCTGATGTTAGCCTTCCTAGTAGAAGAGCCCAGGAAGTTGTACTAAATTCTGCCGAACGTCAGGTGCAGGATTGCTTCCTCGCTGCCTCTGCTGTTTTCTGCATCGTTTGATACTTCTAGTTCCAAATATCCCTGGGCACTTGCAATCCCCTTTTCTGGGGGATTACAGCCCTCACTGTCCAAAACATCTGAGTACTGCCTACCACAGCACCTACTGCAGAGAGCCCAAGACCATACACACATATGGGTGAGACGCTGTTTTAGGTTGAAGCACTGTTTTTAGTGCTGTATATGCATTAAAGGAGGGCTACAACATGAGGGTCCTGTGGGACATATGTTTTCTGTGTTCCTCACAGTAATATTAAGATTTGACCCTCTCCCCTGGTAGAACTTGAGCCCTTCAAAGTTCGGGTTGGTATCTGATTCCCTTCTGTATCTCTAGCCTGGTGCCTGACACATATGGTAAAAATTGATAATAACAGTGGTAGGTTTGACATCTCTTGAGCATCTGCTATGTACGAGGCACAGTGCTAGGCACCTGACTTTCCACCTGTGACCCTCACAGTCATCTCATTAGATATAGTAGGTATTACGTTCATATTACAGATGAAGAAACCAAGGCTCAGCTGAGGGTTGATGTGCCCAGATTTGAGCCAAGGCATCTTCCTTTAAGTTTAGCTCTTTCTAGTATTCTGTGCCGTATTTTAGTTGTATCAACTCTTACACGTGTGTGTTAAATGAGATACTGTTTGTGGATATGCCTTGCTCAGTACACATATACACACATCTTCCCCCCGCCTCCTGCTTCTCCCCTTCCTATTACAATTGACCTTTGCTGCAGAGGAAGCAGATCCTTACATCGGTGACCAGAGATTCTTCTGTCTTAGCACTAGCAGGCACTTTCTGCACTTAGTATGCTGGTTTCCCGTGAGGGTTCTGGGGCCCGTAAAAAAAGTAGATCAGACACTTTTATCTCCCTTGAGTTCTGCCCTTGTGGGTCACATCTAATTTTTCTGCATTTTCCCCTAAACAGAATCAGTCCCTCATTTAAACTGAAATCACCATTTTCTTGTGCCATTCAGAATGGTCTCCAGGCACAATACTTGATATGCAAATTATAATTCACAGTTGGCCACAGTGAAAACCTACAGCCTAAGATGAAACCATACATTGAAATATCAGCCTGTTGAGAAAGGGAAAATTACTTTTACGCCAAAGGTAGTGCCTTAGGCCCCCTCTGTGTACTATGCTCCCTTCCGCCCCACCTCCCCCATTCACTTTGCTTTGGATGGATTGCACTGGGATCAGTCTTGGGAGGACCTGTTTCTGATATTCCTTTTCTCTTCCCCCTCCCCACCTTTTGTTTTTTTGGGCAGAAGAATCATTTTCATTTTATAGTGATCAAACATCTTATCTAAGTATTTGCCTTGAAGAAAACAATCGGTTTCAAGTGGAACATTTTTCTCAAGAAGAACTTAAGAAAAAGGTATTGACCTATTAACTTTTAGTGCATTTCTTTTTGTTAGATTGTTTGTTGTATCTTGGGTTCCTGATGAAGGTTAAGATTCTGAAGGCCCCTCTCCTTCCTTCCTGTCCCCTCTGCCTTGTTGTGTGTGCCCCTCCTGTGTCCATTACCTGGAGTACCTTCCCTTGTGTCTGATAAACTCCCCAGGCCTAAGAACCCAGCCAGGCTTGATCTCGTTGAGGAAAAGGTCTCTGGCCCCTCCGTTTAGAGTTAGCCACTTTTCCTTCAGGCTGTTCCCCTCTTTTTTTTGTACCTAATCCAAATCGATGTCCTTCTCTTACTGATCTGTAATTATGTGGCTATTTGTCTATATTTCCTTGCTAGGTTGTGAACATCTTAAACTTAGTGATTATGTCTTACTTATTTCTGATTTCCCGTTGCCTGGCACACATATAGGAGCTCATAATGGATACATTTTGAATGAATAACATTCCAGGTTTGATCGATACATCTTTTTTTAAACTGGAAAGGTTCTTCAATGTGTTGAACAGTGGCCTGGTTAGAGTGGTTTAGTGTTTCAAGGTTCTGAAAAACATTGTTAGGAATAGGAGGTTTGAGACTGTTTGGTTTATTGTAAAATTATCATGTATGTGTGACTGAGATTCAGTTTCTGTCTTGGAATAATTTACATTCTGATAGAAGAGATAGGCATGTAAACAAGTAATTGCAACGTGAGGTGCAAAGTTGCTGTATGGGCAGCTGTACAAGGTATAGAAATAGCAGAGGAGAGGTTAATTGCCTGTATGGGAGATGGCGGGGTGAGCTTACTTGATCAGGGGAAGCTTCTCAACAGAAGTGAGACTTGAAGTGGGTTTTGAAGGACAAATTCAGAGTTTGCCCAGGTCTCCACTTTCTCAGCAGAGAAAGAGAAAACAGCCTGTGTAAGGCACAGAACAAAGAAATAGCAAGGAGAATAAAATTTTGGGTATTTTGGGAGGAATAGGGCAAGGAGTATCGAGGCAGCTGCTGGTTTTTAAAGATGAAGAAAATAGAGATGATAATAGCTGCTGCTAGTGCCTACTGGGGCTGTGGTAAGGCCAGGAGGTAGTTCACTTGGTTGGCACTTAGTAAATTCAGAATGTCTTGTTCTTCCTACTAGAACCTCCTTGAGGATTAGATCCAATTTTTGTTCCTATTTTGATGTATTGGATGTCTACTATGTGTACTCAGGGTGCGAATTTCCATGTTATTTGAAGAGCTAATAATCGCTTCCATCAAGAAGCCTCGGAAAATTACTGGCCGTTGGGATTTGAAGCCTGCAGGAAACCAAGGTGGTGTCTGCTCGGTTCCTTATGTGTCTGGCCTCGCAAGACCCAGGCCCAGCTCTGCCTGTGTAGAGGCAGCTGCTCTTTCCCATATGGTTAGGCACTTTGGCCATTGTTCTGTCTCATTTAGCTCTCTAGACACCCCAGCTGTGGGACTTTGGGCAGTTAAATTTCTTTGTATTTCATGTCCTCATTGTAAAATGGAGATAGACACACTAGCCTGTTCACCTCCTCAGGATTTTTGCAAGGAGTGATTGACTAAAGCTTGTAGGAGTGTTTTACTAGCCGTAAATTGCTTCATAATTGACAACTGTTAATATTACTGGCATTGCCAGATAGGTGTGCAGAGGAGGAGGTCACTAGTGAAAAGTAAGACTCTGATACAGTTTCAGAAACTTTAGCCTTGGGAGACTTTTCCTCCAGAGGACCTCAAGTGCAGGAGAGAGATAGTATTAGCTGTCACTGACTGAACACTTAGACTGTGCCAGGGACTTCAGTGCACTGTGACCACAATCCTGTTCAGTTTTCATAGTAACTCTATAGATGAGGAAACTGGGACTTCGATTGTGCAGTTTGCCCAGGATCTTTTTGCCTTGAAGTGATGGCTCTGGGATTAGAATACTGGTATGTCAGATGTTAAAGCCAGTGTTTTTGTCACTGTGCGCAGGGTATCCTGAGGGCTAGAATCAGCCTGATTCCCCATAACCGTGGTGCCAAAGAGTCGCTTAATAGGGCTGTCTGGGGCTGTGGCCCCGGGAAGCTGAAGTCTCTTGTTGGGTGGACAGCCCTGTCCTTGTTCTTACCTCCTAGGTCAGTGACCTCATACAGCTAGTGAAGGAGCTGTATACAGACAACCAGCATCTGAAGAAAACCATTTTTGATCTCTCCTGCATGGGTTTCCAGGGAAATGGGTTTCCAGATAGACTTGTGTCTACAGAACAAACAGAGGTAAGAAACATTTTTGTTGTCATGTGCTGATTACAAAAATATAACAACTGGCTTGGTATGGTGGCTCACGCCTGTAATCCCGGCACGTTGGGAGGCTGAGGTGGGAGGATCACTTGGGCCCAGGAGGTTGAGGCTGCAGTGAGCTGTGATTACACCAGTGCACTCCAGCCTGGGGGATAGAGCGAGACCCTGTCTCAAAAAAAAAAAAACTCATCAAAACCATATATTCATATGTATGTATGTATACAAACCATATATTTATGTATATGTATGTATGTATAACAACCTGAAAGGTTTTTCAAGACTGCATCTGTTCCTGGGGAGATCTCTAACTGAAATTCCCTTTGTTGTGAACTGGTTATTGAGAGTCCCGCTAGGCTGTCAGGTCTGCTCGCAGGCTTCCTCAGGTTCGAGTCATGTCTCCATGGACACATTCGATATACTGTGATGCTTTGACTCTGGTCCAGCCCTGGGACCTGTGCTGCAGATGGCACACATCTGATGAGTGATGTGGTCTCAGAGGGATCTGGAGAGTTTCCAAACCACCCAGATAATTTGAATAGTGTGGATGCGGCCTTAATGAATACATTAACATTGAAAAACTGACATACACACAACCCACCCGGGAAAAGAGGAAAGAAGTCTTATTCACCTTGATGACTTCTGGGCCTCAGTGCTGATCTTGGTGATTTGTTGGCTCTGATTTTCTCTGTTTGGGACCCGGGCTGCACAATGGGAGGACCCTGAAGTTGTGATGTTGTTTCCCTCTTCATTCCCTATCTTGGCCTGACTCTCCCGTAGGAAGCACCTTGCTTCATGTGCGTGTTAGCGTTGTTTCGGAAGACCAGAACTGCTCTCCCATAAAGTGCAGTAGTAGGGCCTTTATGTACTTGGGTCCCTCGTGTATGAAACTGGAATCTTCCTGGTTGGGGTTGTCTTCTGCTCTACCTGGAGTGCCAGGTAGATGGAGAACTCACATTCATTGCAACATCATTTCTTGGGAAAGATTTGTCAGCCTTAAGCTGTCTCCTCCTGCCTTCAAAGTGGGAAATGCTCAAAGGTATTTATGCTGCACTCTGGCCATCTTCTTTCTTTGTGAGAGGGAACGTTATTGATCTTAGCCTCCAGGACTCTAGATAATTTTGAAAACTAAGAATATCTGTGATCCATTTAGGGAGAAACAAGTCTGATTTGCTTCCTCCGAGGCAGCGTTCTTCACCAACTTCATTTGAGACACAAATGGTGTGTTTTGTTTGTTCATTTGCCCTTTAAAACAAAAGTCTGTTAAATGTCCCATTATGTCCTTTGGAGAAAATGGCTTTTTCCTTTTCCCACCCTAAGATCTTAATATCAGCCGACTCAGATTTGTTGAGTCTTATCATATTGTACTTCGATTTGATGTTCCCCATGAATAGCCTTGTTCTTTATAGCATAGCTCCCCATTATCCCCCAGAATGGGATGGGAAAGGTGATGTGCCCACTGGAATCTTAGCTGAGGGAGTAGATGGAGTTACGGTGAGGGTGAGATGGGAAAGAGCAGAGCCTGCGGTTCTCTGGGAGTACGTGTGGTTCTCCTTTGATGAGAAACAAATCAGAAACGAACCAGAAATGCGTATATTGTCCACAGCATTTCCCGAGCAGCATGACTTGCAAAGTGGGATCTGGGTATGATTCCTGTTCTCTAGTAGCCTATAAAGGTTGGGGGAAAAGGTGGGGGGAAAGCAAGTATATTTTTATTTTTAAAATTCAGTATTTTTTCTCCAATATTTAATTAACCCATAGCATTACCCCAACATTTGGAAAACAGAGAGAATAAATTACCCCTATTTCTGTCACTTTAAAACAAGCACACAGTTAATTAACATTTGGAAGTGTTCCTTCTGTTATTTGTGTGTATGAACATGTATATGCACATACCTCTGCTGGAATGCAGCTTTGTCTTCTGTTCTTGCTAATTGCTATTATGTCATAGCATCTCATCCCATCTTATGAATGTGCTGAAACTTAACTGCCTCACTGCTGTTGGACATGTAGGTTATTTCTAGTGATTTGCCATTTTTAATTCTCTAATAAATGTCTTTGGACACAAATCTTTTTCTGTGTTTAGGTTTTTCTTTTCCTTAGAGTTGATTCCCAGATATGTGTCATTAGTAGGTCAAAGGACAGATATAAATGTGCAATAGGCATGTAATTTATTTTCATTTATTTATTTATTCTCCCCCGCCCCCCAACAACTTTTAATTTGTAAAAGGCTATAAGTAGTTTGAAGGCTCTAATAGAGTTTGTCAGATTTCTTTTTAAGATGCTGGCTCTGGTGTAGAACCTCACCAGCTGGGTACCATGGTGCTCAGTTCCTGCCTGCTGGTAGTTCACATAGACACCACCAAACAAAACACCAAGAGCAGGTATCCTGTTGTTGCTGTGTACATTTAAAAAAATATGAGGTTGCACCTATTTTCTCATATTTATTTGCTGGTTATTCATGTATTATAGGATAATTAGGTTGAAAATTGATACAGGGGAGTGATTTCAGCAGAGTGTAGTCAGGATGGTGAGCATAGAAAGCCAGGAACTGTATAACTTGTGGACCTGCCTTCTGAGTGCAGGCTATGTGTAAAGAAAGCATGTGGCATGGGTCCTGGCACACTGCAAAGGCTCGAAAGCGTTAGTTACTATTATTATTTACTTATATTGTCATTATTAAGAATGGTTAGAAAACTAACTTTTTTTTTGACGTAGAGAGGAAACCTGGACAAAGGGGCATAATGTAATTGAACTCAAATATTTGTAGGGCTGTCATGTTGACAAGAAATAGACCTTAGTGACTCTAAAGGACAGAAATGGTTCTCAGAAGTAGAAGGTGCTTGTTAAATATTCTGCTAATAGTAACAATAAAACCTGGTTTGTCAGAGCAGATTTAATTTCATTAAAAGGAGGAGCTTTCTAACAATTTGACTTCATATGTTATTATGAGTTTTACATGATTTATAAAGCCCTTGGCACAGTTCTGGCATGTGGTAGGCACTCAGTAAAACAGCTATTTTAATTTTTTTTTTTGGTGAGTTAGTGGCAGAGATGGGACTATAACCCTTTTCTGACTCCGTTTAGAGTTGTTTAGCAACACCATAGGGCAGTGCTTCTGAAGTTTAATGTGCACGTAAATTTCCTGCGAGTCTTGTTAAAATGCAGATACTTGTCCAGTAAGCCTAGCATGGGGCCCGAGAGTCTGTATTTCTAACAAATTCGGGTGATGATGCTTCTGCTGCCCTAAGGAATACCCTTTGAGTAGCAAGACCAGAGGTAATCCTGAAGACGACTTGTTTCTAGATCTCGTTTTGAAAAAAGTCATTATTCATTTATTTGTTCAGCAGCGTTATTGAGCATCAGGCATTGATATTAAAACTATGAACACATACATGTCCCCGCCCTGTCTAGGATGTAATCTAGAGAAGCAGAGGGGCAGTTGCGGCAGAGTGTGGTGAGGGCTCTGATGCAGTGAATGCAGAGTCTCAAGGGAGTTGTAGACAGGTGCTCAGCCCTCACTTTGGGGATTAAGGGAAGTTCTTCCTGGAGGAGGAAGGGGAGCTGCCAAGAGGATGAAGAAAGAATAGCTCAAGAGGCAGGGGGAGAGGCAGTAGAGTGCAGAGCAACAGCATGGGGTTTCAAGGAGGGAGTGTTTCATAGTGTGGAGCACTCTGAGAAGACAAGAAAGAAAAAAGTACTGAGAACTTCCTGTGAGTCCCATGACCGGTTTCATTAGAGTGAAGGGGACAGAAGCCAGCTTGCAGGGCAAAGAGAAGTGATGAGAAGTCAGGAAATGAGGATAGAGCCAGTTGACACTTGGAGGTTTGGAGGTTGCTTCTTTAGTGGCGGTAGGCCTGGAAGCTGAGCCAGGTATAGTGACTCAGTTCTTTCTGACATCTTAGTTCTATGTCTTTGAAAATGGGTAAGTAGCATGTAGCATGAAGTACATTTCTCTATGTCCATAACATTTAATTTCTTGACCATTCCTGGAAACTGAGAGTTTACTTTTAATTTTGACCAGGTCAGCAGAGGTAAAGAAAAATGAAAGTGAATTTTTACTTCACTGTATCAAGTATTGGCATGGTTATGGTTCTGGAAATGCAGAATAACTTTGATGCTTTTCATATTTCAACTTGGAATGACGTGTTCACGATACTTTCTTTGCTCCTCTAAACTTAGGGGAAACTCTTCTCAGATCCGCAGGAGTCAGGGAGGAGCTTCTCTCTGCCTCCTTCCTAACCCCATGTGGATTTCATCTCTCGTTAATAAACAAGGTCTTTGGGGACCTTTCCTGGGCAGTAAAAGCCACATTGCAGAAGGTGAGAATAGACCCCTTGCAGAAGCCTGGAGAGAGGCAGAGAACACTCAGTGACCAGAGCTGTTGGGGAATCAGAGAGAGACTTTTGTTGTTGTTTTGAGACAGAGTCTCACCCTGTTACCCAGGCTGGAGTACAGTGGTGCTATCTCAGCTCACTGCAAGCTAAGCTCCGCCTCCCAGGTTCACACCATTCTCCTACCTCAGCCTCCCGGGTAGCTGGGATTACAGTCGTCTGCCACCACACCTGGCTAATTTTTTTTTTATTTTTAGTAGAGATGGGGTTTCACAATGTTAGCCAGGATAGTCTCGATCTCCTGACCTCGTGATCTGCCCGCCTCGGCCTCCCAAAGTGCTGGGATTACAGGCGTGAGCCTCCACACCCGGCCGTGTTTTGTTTTGTTTTAAAGATGGGAAAGACTTTCTTCTAATATTTTATTATGAAAAAATTCAGACACAGCAAAGTGAAAAGAATTTTACAGTGAATACCCATATACTCACCACTTAGGTTCTATGCACGTTTCCCACCTGCCCATCATCACTCTGTCTCATCTTTCTGATAAATTTTAATTGAAGCTGCAAACATCAGTATACTTCCCCCTAAGTACTTTAGTGTGCATATCTTCAATAAATGCTTATAGTTAAATGAACTATAGAAATTGTAAGCCTGTGTTCACTAAGTTTTACAAGTGTATGTGCCTGTGTAAGGCAAACCCCTATCAAGAGCCTGCATGTCCTCTGTTGTCCAAACCCAATCCCACCCCAGCTGCTCTTCTGATTTTGTCCCACTATGGATTAATTTTGCCTAGACCTTCATATAAGTGGAGTCCTACAGTATATTCTCTTTTGTATATATTCTTTTACTCAGCATTATGTTTTTGAGATTCATCTATGTTGTTAGTGCATCAAGTTTGTTCCTTTTTATTGCCAAGTAGTATTCCATTGCATGAATGGATTACGTTGTTTATTCATTCTGCTATTAATGAACACTTGGGTAAAAGGTGATATGAGCATTCATGTACAATTCTTTGTTGGGGCATACTTTTTTTTTTTTTAAACTTAATGAGTACCTACGAGTAGAATTCCTGAGTCATAGGGTTATTAGTTTTATAAGAAATGCCAATGCTTTGTCCAAACCTTTTATATTCCCACTAATGAGTTTGATAGTTCCAGTTAGTCTTTATCACGGTGAGAATGTTACGGTAATGAGGGAAGAAACCAAAAGAGAAAGAGGGTTCCTTACCCATATTTATAAACTTTTATACCTCAGTAGGTATATTTACGCATGTCTAGTCTGTTTTGTGCTTGATAGGATAGTGGGATATGGTTTTTGATCATCACTTCTGTTTGATCCTGATTGCAGATTTAGATACGGTTAGATTGAATGTGTTCTGACCCTGGGAAGTTTCTATAAAAACTGAACTCAGTTGCCTTTGTTTTGTTTTTCTTCCAAAACAATGTTTTTCTTCTGAAAGGAAAATCAGAGAGTTGGACTGGAGAGCTATGGGGATAATTGACTAAATGTAGGGATTCAGAAATAAAACTTGAACTAGAACCGTAGGTATCTCACATGTACAACACACCCAACAAATGACCCAGTAGTCCGTGGTTTCAGCACCTTCGGTGTAGACTATTTTGTTTTGTTTTTGTTTTCGAGACAGGGTCTTACTCTGTTGCCCAGGCTGGAGTGCAGTGGTGTGATCACGGCTCACTGCAGCCTCAACCTCCCTGGGCTCAGGTGATCCTTCTGCCTCAGTCTCCTGGGACTACAGGCATGTGCCACCACACCCGGAGAATTTTTGTACTTTTTGTAGAGACAAGTGTCTCACTCTGTTGTCCTGACTGGTCTTGAACTGCTAGGCTCAAGCAATCTGCCTGCCTAGGGCTCCCAAAGTGCTAAGATTACAGGTGTGAGCCACTGCACCTGGCCAGACTCTTTTATTGGTGAGATAAGGTTTGGTATAATTTTGACATAGCTTCGATTAGTTCCTTACCCGGGAGTGGTTGGCCACCTTTTCTCTCATTTTTAATTTGGTTAATTCAGGTGCCCCATGAATAGAATTTTTGCTTTTCCGGAGAGCTGAGAACTGGCTTTCTTGAGAACTTTGTACCATCCATTTTGTAGCACTCAGAAGCTTTGGGATTTACACTTCTTTGAAGCATTAGGGATTTATGCAGTCTTTATAAATAACTGTCCTTCATTTCCAAAAGCATAAAGTTATCGTCAGGCAAGCGTGATACTCTTCTCATTAGAGATGAAGACTTTTTGTCAGCAAAATGACAGTGTTGCCAGGACTGCCCATCTCAGAGGTGTGACAGTCGAACAAGAAGAGGTTTATGCCTTGTGCTAAATAGGAGAAATGATGCATAAATTGGGCACACCATAAATTTCATTTATTACTTTCTTGCTATTTGATATTTTCAATTCCATCAATAGCTGTTTTCCAAAATCTTGTTACTTTTATATAATCTGAAAGTGAATTTAGCAAAGGCAGGAGTGGCAGTGGCATACAGCATATTTAATTTACGGCAGCTAAGGAAGGGCCATGCAAGGGCAAGGGGAAATGTCTTTAGTTGTTTTCTTGGGGAATTTGTCCTTAAATTATGCTTGATTCAGGCAGCTGGTATGATTCGCCACAACTAGCAACTCTAACTTTGGTTAATTTTTATTTCATGGCTTTGGCATTTGTTTGTTCCTCTTTTTTGTTTGCCTTTTGTTTTGCATTAAAAAAAAAAGACATCACTGACTTATTCATACATATTCATGCTGCACACTTTTTTGGGTTGCATTTTCACATCATTCCATGCTCCATGTAGCTTATGGCTAGCAAGGAGGATGAGGACACGATCAAAATTGGAGAGGATGACGAGAATAACTTCCTGAGTGACCAGCATTTGCAGCAGAGTAATGAGGTAGGAACCTTGCAGTTAACTCCTTATTTCATCTATTCCACTCTATGTCCAAACCAGTCTTCGAGTCTGGAATGAGTCCAGTGAGTTTTCTGTTCATTCTGCCTATATCGTGTACCTTTCATGTGCCAGTGGAAAGCAAAGACTAGGTCTCTTCCCTCTTAGAAGTTAAAAACTGGGTGACAGAGCCAGTCGTGAAACATGAAAACAAGTGTATACTTGCAAATAAAAATGGACTTGTTATAGTAGAATAGCAGGCATTGGATGTTTGACCTGGACAAATCTTCAGTGAGCTAATCCAACGCATTTTATGAATTAGGAACTGAAGTCTTCGAGGAGTGATGATTTATTTGGGGCAGAGAGTGAATCAGTGATAGAGTTGGGGTAAGAACCCTTGTTTCTGGACTGTGTGAACTACCATATCATTTGGTTGAGGCGTAAAGACCTACTGATGGAACTTAGCTCCCCTTCCTAGGGGCACTCTGCAGTCTCCTCATCTGGAACCCACATTACTGTCATTTGGGCATTGTGAGAATCTGACCCCCGTCCACATAGAGCACTCTTCCAATCACATTGATACTGAACATTTGGAGCAAGCAGTCTCCAACCCTCTAATTCATAAAATGTGTGGGAGACTCCAAGCAGTCTCCAAAGTTGAAAGAACCCTAGAGACTGGGATGTGGTGGGGGTACGATGCTACAGATTTGGCATTTTTGGCCTTCAGGGTGTTCAAGTTTGTGGAGTCACAAAGGGAAGATCTTCAAATATAGATAGTTTTAGAAAGCAAAGTAATTAAAAGTGCAACCAGATGAACCTCATTCGAAGTCTTAGCTTTGGCACTACTATCTCTGTGACCTTGGTTAATTAGTGTTTAACCTCTAAGCCTGAGTTTCCTCATCAATGAGGATAGTAATACTTCCTTTTAGGATTGTGATATTTAAATAGAAAGGCATGTAATAAGTGCTCAGTAAATAATAATTATTGTTTTTATTATTCTGTATGTTTCCTTCTTTGGAGGTTGCTTATTAGTTGGATTTAATAACTAGATTGGTGGCCAAGAAGACACTATAAATAACAACTCATTTGTGTAGGTCTTGTCTTCCATTTAAAAATCTTAATCATTTCACCAGTGTGGAGAGATGGGGGTGATGGCTAGTGTGTATATCACCAGCAGTAATGAAGTCAAGAGGAATTATTTATAGACTGGTAGAAGAAATTTACAGCTTTGGATAGGGGAGAAAGAATGCTAATTGCAGCACCTCAAAGACATGCCCAGTACAGGCTTTAACTAGATGCATCTTTGGTACCACTCCTCTGGGACCCTCAGTGACCCAAGAAGGTGGATCCGTAAATAACATCTCCATGGGAATTAGGAACTCTCTACCTTCCTAATGAGAAAGATCAAAGCCATGTTAAATTGTATGTGTCTGTAAAGAGTAAGTCAGCTTTCTGATACATAATAAGGAGGATACATTGCAAGAAGAATATAATAAGCACTCAAATCATTGTTAATGACATGGGTTCCCTACTCTTCTTAGAAAGAACTTTCAAGGAGTGGGCCATAGGGGTGGGAGAATGCATTTCCAGTGTGCACCTGTAGTGAGTAAGACAAGTAACCTGAGGTGGTCTCATTTCATTCTCCTAAGAACCGCGGGAGGTACCATTACTACCCCCATTTTATAGGTGAGGAAACTGAGGGTGAGGAAAAGTGATGTAAACATCTCTATCCTCTTTCTAGAACATCTCCCTGCATTAAAGTGAGTATGTGCGCACCTGCGTGCCTGTGTCTCTCTCTCTTCCTCCTTCTCCTCCCCTTTCCTTTTCTGTTTCTCTCTGGCTCAGTGTGTCTGGCTTATTTGCACTTACTCACTTACCCTGCATCTCCATCCTCTCTCCACACACCCGCTTCCCTTACTCCTTATTCTATTATTTGACCAAATACTTTTATTTGCAGATTATGAAAGACCTTTCCAAAGGAGGCTGCAAAAATGGATACTTACGGCACACGGAACCTAAGATTTTAGAATCCGATGGGGCCCACGCACCTGGCTGCCTAGAAGAAGGCGTGTTCATAAACCTGCTTGCCCCTTTGTTCAATGAGAAGGCCACGTTGTTACTGGAATCCAGGTAGACATGAGGCCCAGACATTCCTTTGTTTCTCTAGTTCTAGGGGAGAACAAACTCATTTTGCTAAATGGGTTTAGATGATGGTGCTGTGTAATTTACCTGAGAGAGCTCCTGAAATGGCTTGGAAGGAATCTTGCCAGTCATGCAATTAAGTAATTAGGCTGCATGCTAGTGGCTGTGAGGGGACGTCAGCAAAGCCTCATGTAAGCCCATTATAAAGAGGAGAAAGGAAGCTTTCTTTGAGAATTATTCCTGGGAGGCCCAGAAAGGGCTGCCTTGCTGTCAGCGAGAGGAATCAGCCCTACTGAAATCTCTCCCAGTTTCGACAACAGCTTAAAAAATATCATTGTAGTTGTGATTCTGCTGTTTTTGTTGAGCTTGAATTAAAGTTCTCTTCTCATTGTATCTGTTGGGAGCCATTCCTATGTGAAGAGATACTACAGGTTGTTTTCGTTAAAACAAAAAAGGAGAAATATTCCGTACATTTGTGTTTTTTCAATTAATCCTTTGGGAGTAATTTTTCCCCCTTTCATGTTCTTCCTAGTCCATCCATAACAGCTGCTTGGGCTTTGGAACCAAAAAGAGCTGTCTTTTTATCTCTCATTGCCTCAGTTTATCTGATTACTTCTTAGGGTTGCTGTGGGGAGTAAGAAAAAAAACAAGAAAAATGGCTGGCATGTGGTGTGGTGCGTGTTCAATAACAGTTTTCAGTTCTCCTCCCGAATAGGTAGAGAAATGGAGCAGTAATGATTGCCCATGACTCTTGACAAGAGCCAGGAACACTAATATTTCTTGTATCATTGATGGACTAAGCCTTATGGGCGTTTCTTCAGCGGAAAAATGGGATTGAAGCACTCTGTTTTTGTGAGCTCAGCAAGCCTGACTCCTCCCCAATCCCTGACGTCTGTCCAATATTTTTCTAGCATGAGTCTTCTTGGAAGACATGCTCAGTGGCAGTTCTGGCTTATTATCACAAGTAGTTAGATGACCGTAGTAGTTAGTGCTTGGGAAATGGAGGATTTCCTGAACATCGTGATCCCTAATTTTACTTCAGAGTTAAAAGATACTTTTGTGTGAGGGCCATGTGGGAATGTACTTGGGTGATGTGAATCAGGGAGAGTGCAGTGGGCTGTGGTAGGAGCGTGGTGAATTGGCCGGTCGGGGGAAATGCTTCCTTCTGGCAATGGAAGCGTTTCAGTCCCAGCTGAAATGGGAGTCAGAAAGGTCTGGAATCTCAGCTTTGCTCTGCCACTTGGTTGGGGGATCCTGAACCTTTATGAGCCCATTTATTCATCTGTAAAATGGGCTTTTAAAGAATCCCCCTCTCGCAGTCTTATTGTGAGGATTCAGTGTATTTAGAGGATTTGGCACATGGTAAGTGCTTAGGAAATGTCAATTCCTCTTCCCTTATACCTTCCTCATGGCACAGATGCCCAGGAAGGGGATATAAACAATATTTGGGCTCTGAGAAGTCTCTTGGACTGAACCATTGAAAAGGTCCGGCTTACAGTTATAGCTTAATGAATCTGCTGTTCAGATTTCTAGCAAAATAACACTTGAAATATTTTATTTAATAGCACCACGACTTTAGTATATTATAATGGCCTCTTTCACCACCTTTTACTACCCATGTGTAAAGTATTTTTCCTCAGTTTTATTGTGTTGTTTGGTGGTGAGTAATGGTCTTCCTTTGGCTAGCCAAATAACAATTGTCATTATTTTTTATCTATATTAAAGAGGTGAAGGAAAGGAAAATTTAGTTTAACATCTCCTGAAGCTTGAAATGCCAGAAATATTTTGAAGGTCTGGGTTTACTATAGTTTGAGGTTGTTTCTGTTGTCTAGATAATTTCACATTAGAGGTGAAAAATGTACCATACATTTAAATTTTGTTGTTAACCCCATTTTGGTGTGCTATAGCTATTTAAATGGAGTTGACTCTGCCCCCGTCTAGATAATAGAAATCTGGATATGCAGAGGGCCTTCTCCCTCCCCTCAGAGGGCTCAGTGGGAAAGATAACACAGGGGTGCCTGTCATTGCCAGTGGCAGCAAAGATCGGAGGAAGGGAAGGTCAGAGTATGTTAAAGGAGTTGTAGAGTACAGCCTGACTGTTTCACAGGGTTTCTAGAAATAGAACAGGTAGTAGAAACCGAAGTGAGAAGAAAGAAGAGCTAACACCAATGAGGACCTTCTGTCCCCTTCTTTTGCTGACTGCCACCACCTCACCCAGACCTGCATTTTCTTTCTCCTGGGAGTTAGCAACAGCTTTCTAGCTGGTCTCTTCTCTCTACTTCCCCCATTTATTTTCACATAACTTTCTGTCCCAGTTTCATAACTCTGTCTTCTTATGATCTTTTCCCTTTAGTTTTTAGATGATTTATACATACTTAAAAATCTTCTTCAGATTGCTTTATTGTTTCTGTTTCCTCAATTGTGAAATCTCTCATTAGGTTGTTGTCTTTTTAATAGCCCTCTTCTTACAGCTGTGGGTTTTCTCCCCTGTTTCTGATCTTTGGATACTTTTATCTTGATTTTTGAGCCCTATAGTGTACCTTACACTATTTTTTAGGTGTGCATATTTTGCAGTCATTACTCTGTGATTAGACCAGCATGAGGGGAGCTCCCTGTGTGTGAGGCCTCTCTGTCCATTCTCTATGCAGCAGCAGCCAGAGTCACCTTTCTTGATTTTTTTTTTTTCTTTTTTTTTTTTGACACAAAGTTTGGCTCTATTGCTCAGGCTGGAGTGCAGTGGCACGATCTCAGTTCACTGCAGCCTCCTGTGTTCAAGCCATCCTCCCACCTCAGCCTCCCGAGTAGCTGGGGCTACAGGCACATGCCATCATCCCTGGCTAATTTTTTGTATTTTTTGTAGAGATAGGGTTTCGCCATGTTGCCCAGGCTGGTCTCGAATTCGTGAGCCCAAGCTGTCTGCCTGCCCTGGACTCCCAAAGCGCTGGGATGATAGGCGTGAACCACGACGCCCGGCCTGGAGTCACCTTTCTGAAGCACGTGTGTGACCAGCCCGGTCCATTGCAAGGCCTTTCAGTGGCCTTCCTTTTTTTTTTTCTCAATGTGTTGTACAGGACTCTTCGTTTCTTCCCTGCCCATCTTTCCAGCCTCACCCCTTCTTCGCCACTTGACTCTGTTCCTGTTGTTTTCCATGCTTAGACTGTTCCATTTCCCCTCCTCGAGGCTTCCATGCTTAGACTGTTCTCATTGATGTTAGAAACCCTCCGCTGTCGTTCTCCCTGCCACCCCCAGTCTGGGGCACTCTGGGATGGTTGCCCTGTAACCCTCATAATTTGTTTACATATGTTTCTCTAAAACCAGTCCATGTCCTCCTGGGACAGTTTTATACCCCCAGTGGCCACTGCAGTGCCCAGCACAAGAAACACACAAGGGAGTCTTCTTGAGTTACTCTACCTGAGCACCATTCCAGGTGTTTTACATGCTGGCTTAGTTTTGCTTCCCTGGAAAGCAGAGCCTGAGATTCGGATTAGAGTATAAGGGATTTGTTTGGGATTTGACATCAGGGAGCAGGAATGAGGGCTCAGGGAGAGTAAGACAGGAATGAAAGCAGAACCAATGAGGGTGCAGTAATGATCTGGTTACTGCTGGGGACCCTCTGAGGGACTGTGTATTACTGTGCCTGTGTGGTCCGTCTGAAGGATGGGAGACTGGGACATTTACGCAACAGCTGTCTTCTCCCACTGGCTGAGAGTTTCCCCAGAAATGGAAACTGTTTCACACTTCCACACTGCTTTACTGGCTTGCTCATAGAGCTTTGGAAAAAGCCCCAAGGCAGCAGAGATGTAGAGGGTGTTTGAGGTGGGACTGTGTCTATGGGAACTGTCCACGCAGCAGCAGCTGAAGTCAGAGGTGTGCCAAGGGTATGTGACAAGGAGCATGGAAAGTATCTGCTGCCTATACACTTATCTCGTTTAATCCTCATAGCTGTCTTGTGGAGGAATACTTATCTTCTTTTCAGAGAATTGCGGAGTTAGAATATGAAGGGATTTGTATCTGTCTTCAAAACCAATGCATTTTTTACTATGCCTGTATACAGATATTCCTTCATTACCACCTCTTTGTTAAGCACCCATTGTGCACCAAGATGGATTAGGTCATCGATGGACTAGCCAGGTTGGCCAGATTAGTCTAAAGCCATACTTGCTCCTGGATATAGAAATGGGGCCAGGGCCAGGAGGTTGGCTGGCGGGGTAGAGTCAGGGAGGACCCTGTAATTGTCATGGACACCTTATAATCCTGTTTTTTTCTACCTGGGCCCAGCCTGCATTCACATATTCATGTGACCCAACCACTTGCTGTGTACCTTGTGTCAAATTAATTCTACTCTTCTTATCCTTGAAATGACATGGTAGTACCTGCCTTGTTTGGTTGCTGTGAGGTTACACAGGATAAAATACTGGATGTGGGTCCTGGCACGTTGTGGGTACACACTGTATTTAGTTTTGATGGAATCTGGGCAACAGTAGGTGGGGATAACTTGGGATACTGGCTAGGGGACAAGGCCTAGCAGAAAGCTTGATTCTTCCACTTCCTTCCCTTTTGGAAAAACAGGCCAGACCTTCTGAAAGTGGTACGGGAACTGCTTCTGGGACATCTGTGCTTGGCAGAGCAGGACGTTTCTGGAGAACACCTTGGTGGTAAAACAGAGAAGACACCCAAGCAAAAAGGTGAACTTGTCCATTTTGTCCAAACCAACTCATTTTCCAAGCCACATGATGAACTGAAGTTGTCTTGTGAGGCCCAGCTAGTAAAGGCAGGCGAAGTGCCCAAGGTGGAGCTGAAAGATGCCTCAGTGCAGACTGTGGCCACGGAGGGCGACCTGCTCAGATCCAAGCACGAAGCAGTGAGAGAGGCTTGGGAAGAGAAACCGATCAACACTGCACTCAGAGCAGAGCATCGGCCAGAGAACCTGCACGGGGTGCCTGGGTGGCAGGCTGCCCTCCTTTCCCTCCCTGGTGGGACCAATAGAGTAAGTTTTTCCATGTATTAATTATGTAGTTACTTTATACAAACAAAAAACTTTAAAAATCACCTTTAATCTTACCACTTTCTTCCCATTTATATGATGAGAATGTCCAGTGTCTCTCTCTGCTTGCACTTACCCTAGCCTCCACCCAGAGCTGTGTGTCCTCACTGACCTTCCCCTGCCTCTCCTTCCCCTCACTCCCTTTGTCTGTCTTCCTCCATCTCAGCCCTATCTAATTTATCTGTATATTGTGACATTTATGTGTTTTCCTTAGAAAAAACACATGTGAAGTCTTGTTTATACATCTGTCTATAGCTGTCTATTTCATGTTATGAGGAACATCTTTCCTTGTAATGGCTACATAAGATTGCATTGTGGAGATGTCCCAAAATCTATACAATTTTCATTGTATTGATGAACATTTGCTTTTGCAGGTTGCAGTCAAATGGTTATAACCTGACTTCAGGGATAGGGATGAGAACCTAGGTTTTATCTTGTGCAGACTTTGTGTAGGAGAGGTATTATTCTGAGGGCTTCCTCTATAATCTTTTATCCTGACAACACTCATCAAAGATCTGGAAGCCACACCCCATGTTCCTGTTGTTAACCAGTGGTTGAGCTGAGACTCCCACTGTACCTGACTGCACAGCCACACCCTTTCCCTGGATCAGGCTACCTTCCAACCCTGGTGGTGTGAAATGATAAAGTCTGGGTTTGTTGAGTGAATGTTTGCATGTTGATTTTCCTTCAGCTTATATACTGTCTCTAAGCCCTGCACATCCTGTCAAATATGCCAGATTGTTAAAACCAGGTTCTTTTGGCAATGTTTGATTGGACCCTTATGAAAATCCTCTTGAGGTCATGGCTTGAACCCCCCACCCCTGCCACCCTACGGCCAAGAATCCCCATAGAAGGGAGATGTGTTCTGGGAGAGAAGGAAATAGGTCGTGTTTCTAATAGTGGTTCAGTGAAGGCTGTTGATATTCTTGTTTCTGATGGGTGTTTTGTATTTGAGAAATCAACTGTACACACTGCTTTATAGCATCAGAATGGAGAATTAAGTTTATTTTCTGACCACTAAATTACTGCTTTTGCGCATACAAAAGAGAGTTAGATATATCATTAGCAAAATTGCTTTTGATTTTTTTAAATTATGCACCAAAACTGTAATTTCTAGAAAAGGGTTTTCTAAAGATATCAGTAGAGACCAGAGAGAGAGAGAGAGAGAGACAGAGAGAGAGAGAGAGAGAGACTGCCGTTATATTAACGGTACTAGAAATGCAAATTTGTGCAGTTTGGCTAGAATAGAAATGCTCTCATCTGCCCCAGCTCCTTCAGTTTGTACCTGTATATCAGGAAAACTAGGTGTCTTTTGTTTGTTTGGTTTTTTTGTTTGAATTTTTCATTGTGTGAGAGATGTTATTCTGTGTTCAGGAAAACTGGAGAATTGAATGGACTTAATTTCCCCCAAATATATGAAAATAGATATCTTTTTAGTTTGAAATTATTCTTCTTGCTATGTCTTCAAAAGGAAGAAAACCGTATTTGTTTATTATTATTATTATTATTATTTTTTTTTTTTGAGACGGAGTCTCTCCCTGTCGCCCAGGCTGGAGTGCAGTGGCCGAATCTCAGCTCACTGCAAGCTCCGCCTCCTGGGTTTACGCTGTTCTCCTGGCTCAGCCTCCCAAATAACTGGGACTACAGGCGCCCGCCACCTCGCCCAGCTAGTTTTTTGTATTTTTTAGTAGAGACGGGGTTTCACCATGTTCGCCAGGATGGTCTCGATCTCCTGACCTCGTGATCCGCCCGTCTCGGCCTCCCAAAGTGCTGGGATTACAGGCTTGAGCCACCGCGCCCAGCCCTGTTTATTATTTTTAGTATCTGTTAGGGATTGTGCTGGATACTCTGTGTGTGTCTGTGTGTATGTATATACATATATATATAATCTCACTTAATATTCTCAACAAGAATATGAATTTGGTAGGTATTACTTACATTTTACTTTTGAAGAAATATTGGCTCAGAAAACTGTCCAGAGTGACTTAGCTGGTAAGTGGAGTGATAGGGATATAAACTAAAGTCTGGTTTTAGGTGCGGACAGAGATACTATAAACCTGCCTTTCTCTGGGAGAGAAGAGCCCTCCCATCACCACCATGGCCTCCAGTCTATGCAAAGTAGAAGGAAATTTAATGATATTCTTTGTGGTCTTTGGTAGTTAAGGAGTTGATAATCCTATGGCTTACCTCTTTTAATAGGAGACTCTGATACCCTGTTAAAAGGAATATCACTGCAGCCTGAGGGTAAGACAAGGAGACCAGATATCTTTCCAGTTGTTTAGTTATAGAGACAAGGAGACCAGGTATCCTTTCAATTGTTTAGTACAGACAAGAGGATGGACTTTACTGATATACATGTGTTTGCATTGGGCCTAGCCACTTACCTGCTTTGAGTCTTTGGCAAGTGTCTAGTACAGTACCTTGTACATGGTAGGAGCTTGGAGTGTGTGAGTTCCTGTTTCCCTTCCATTCCTAAGGAAGAAGTTCCAATGTGACATCTTTAATAATGTGGTAGGTGGGACTCTGTTCAGAGTCCATAAGGTAGCATTTTGTGTGGTGTTATTTTAGAACGAGCATTAGGTTGACTGACGGCAGTCTTCCAGCTTGAAATTGGCTTTGGCATTTGTGCACTTGCAGTTATCTTTTCTGCTGCCATATGACACACAGATTTGGATCCAGGAATAAAGATTGGTGGAGACTGAGGACCAAGCAAATGATTGTTATTTTCCAGCCCTCTTTGCTGAGGCGTCCACCTCCTCCCACGTGGTCTCCTTTTGCCACCTCAAACTGTTCTTATCCTTGAACCTACTCTCTCCTCTTACCTGAAATTTCAGAGCAGAAAGCATCTCACTTTTCTGAACTGAGCACTGGACCCTGAAGAGCTAGTCTTAGGTCTGACTCTTGAACCTTCTTGCACTGTGACATTGGACTAGTTGTTTGACATCTCAGTTCTTCATCTGGAAAGTAGGCATGATAACGTCTCTTATCCTGTGAGTTCTGGGACTGCAGAGTTCACTTCAGGATTATGGGAAAGTGTGCTTGAAAGCATTTTATATCCTAGAATGTTCAAGAAGGGGCCCTTACTCTTCTTTCCTTCTTAAGAGACCTCAGTGATCTCATTTCTTGGGTCCCAAATATTTTCTGTTTTCTTCTTGGGTTCCTTCTCCTCTGCTATTTAAAAACTTTAAAAAAAAAAAAAAGCCTTATTAAGATTTAATTCACATATCATCCAATGCATCCCTTTAAGGTATACAATTCAGTGGGTGTTTTTTTTTTTTTTTTTTTGGTCTATAGTACAATTTAGAGTTGTACAACAGTTTTAGAACATTTTCGTCTCCCAAAAGAAACCTTGTACTCATTAACAGTCACTTCCCATTTCCCCCCAACTCGCCCACCCCAGCCCTAGGCAACCACGAATTTACTTTGTGTCTCTTTTGATTTGCCTATTCTGGATTATTTTATATAAATGGAATCATGCCATGCGTGGTTTTTGGTGACTAGCTTCTTCCACTTAGCATACTGTTTTTGAGGTGCATTCACGTTGTAGCATGTGTCAGTACTTCATTTATTTTTATTGCCAAACAGTATTCCATAGTGTATCCATATGGATATACCGCATTCATTAGTTGATGCACATTTGAGCTATTTTCACTTTTGGTTATTAGAAATAATGTTGCTATTTATGTACAAATTTGGGGGTGATAATGTTTTTATTTCTCTTGAGTATATATACCTAGGAGTAGAATTGATGGGTAAGATGGTAACTCTGTTTAATCCTTTTGAGGAACTGCCAGACTATTTTCTAAAGCGCCTGTACCCTCTTTACATTCTCACCGGCAGTGTGTGAGGGTTCCAGTTTCTCCACTTCTTCATCAACACTTGTTGTTGTCCTTTGATTATAGCCATCCTAATAGGTATGAAGTAGTGGTATTTTACTGTGATTTGATAGACATTTTCCTTGGTGACTAATGATGTTGAGCATCTTTTCACATGCTTATTTGCCATGTACATATCTCCTTTGGAGAAATGACTATCAGAGTTTTTACTCATCTTTTAATCGGATTATTTGTTTTTATTATTGAGTTGTAGTATTTCTTTAAATATAGTCTGGATTTAAGTTCCTCAACCCAGCTTTTGAATGTTTAAAATTCCCCAGTTGAAAGAGACCCCCATTTGGCCTCTTAAGTTATTGTTTATATGTTCATTCCACAAATAGCTGTTGAGTACCTACTGTGTACTAGTTCTTATGCTAGAAGCTATACAGAGAGTATGGCCAAGATATGCAAAGCCTCTTAACCCTGGAGCTTACAGGTTGGTGCAGAAGATAGACAAGGAACAGATAATTTCACAGGCATTTAATTAAAATGATAACTGACGTTCTCTGAGGGGATATGTAGAGGACAGTGAGTGTGTAATAGGGAGCTCTGCCTTGGTCTTAGAAATCAAGGCCCATTTTCCTGAGGAAGGCCCATTTGAGCTGAGTCTTAATGAATGCTGTTAGAGTTAGTCGGGGAAGTGGGAAGGAGTGAGTGTTCTGGGCAAAGGGGTTGGCATATGCTAAGGTCCTGAGGTGGAAGGAAGGCATTTTGAGGGACCAAGGTCATTGTTGTTGAAGAGCAGGGTAAAGTGGAAGGGGGTGTAATTCAGGCTGTAGGTCTTGCAGGACTTTGTAAGTTGTGGTATGGACCTTGACCTTTGTCTTGAGAGAACTGGGAAGCAATTAAAATAGTTTTAGGCAGAAAAGAGGAGTAGTAGCTTTGTCTTTTCGCTGTAGCATGGAGAGTGGCTTAGAGAGGGCAAAAGTGGACGTGTGGAGACCACCCAGGAGGCTGTTGCCATGACTTAGGTGAGAACTAACAGCATCTTGGAGTTGAGTGGTAGCAGTGGAGGATGAGAAGTGTTGAAAGAATTGAGAGACAGCCTGGGACTTATAATTAATGGACCCTGATGAATGGTGAAAGTGGGTGACAAGAATAAAGGGAAACTTAAAAATTATTCCTATGGTTCTAGATTGTGTAGTAAATGGATAGTCATGTGATTCACCAAGACAGAGATTGTTGAAGTGGCGAAGATTTGCAGTGGAGGCATGGGGTGATGAAGCTGAAGAGTTGAATTTTCAGTTGACTCTGTAGTGCCCGTAAGTCATTATGAATGAGGATGACTGGGAGTTCTGAGCCTGGGAAATATCCACTGGGTTGGCAACTTAGTAGCCACCGAAGTAAGGGGTGATTCTGGTGGACTAGCAGGGGTTGATAGGCCAGATTAGATTAGACTGAGGAATGTTTGGGAAATGAGGAAATAGATAAGGAGCAAAATAACATTTTCCAGAAGATCAAGTTGGAAGAAGAACTGCCATTTATGGAGCGTCTGGATTGTCCAGAGAGACAATGGGCCAGGGCCAGGAGGGTGGCGAGGAGAAGCTTGGCCCTTGATGATCAGGGGAGGGACCTGCCAAGATACAAGCTCTTTGGCTGGTAGATAAACATAGCTGCCATTATAGGACCGAAAAGTCTGGGCAGCCAGTTCGAATTCCGTTTTATAAGGCTGGCATGAGAATGTTGACTGTGCAACCAAAGGAAGTGTGTTCAAAGTGTATTCATTGTTGCATATGTGTGTTTTCAGGAGGCTAAGAAGTCCCGCTTGCCAATCCTAATAAAACCATCCCAGTCATTAAGAAATACGTATCGTCTCCCTGCCACCCAGGAAGTGGTGATGCAGCTGCAGAGCCAGATCTTGGAGCTGCAGGGGGAGCTGAAGGAGTTTAAAACTTGTAATAAGCAACTTCACCAAAAGTTAATTCTGGCTGAAGCAATGATGGAGGGGAGGCCAGCGCCCGACAAAATGTTGCTGAATGGTAAGCATCAAGAAAAATGTATTCCCTGTGAGCTAGACAAACGGCTCGATAGAAAACTGCTTGAAATGTCAACCTTGTTGTTTAGAATTGCAATAAGTTTGAGTATAAATTTCATGAATTGCAGTGATTAATCTTGACTCTTGACAAATGCACAACAGAGGGAACACAATAAGGAGAATGAATCCATTGCTTTCATTTTACTCTGGAGTCTGGATAAAGGGAACTTGTAGTGCTCATAGGTCTGAGCGGGCACTGCTGCCTTCACTTAGGATTCTCTGCAGATGCCCCAGTTGTGTTTGGCTTTGTCTGTGGACGCCTCTGGCGTGTGACGTCAGAGGTATGCAAGTGAGGATCTACTTTGCAGAGTTCTCTGGAATGTCCAGGCCAACTTGGGGCTAATTCCAAACCTTACTAACCTTGTGTCTTCCTCTAGAAGTGACCCACTTCCCCACCCTCTTTGAACCTGCTGGCTCTGCTCTCCTGGGAGGCAAGACAACAGAAAGCCCCTGGGTTAAAATGTCCCTAAATAGTTAGGATCCAGAGACTTGGAGGAAATGTGTCTAGTGGCGTCCTCTAGTCTAGGACAGTGGTGCTTAGAGATTTTGGACCAGTAACCCTTTGAGAATCTGAAGAAAGCTGAGGGCCCTCCCACAGAATGATGCAGGTGAGCATATAAGTAGCATTTTACATCATTTTCTCAGGGCTCATGAATCCACAAATGTGCATGTGTTGACTCCTAATTTTGAACTTCTGTAAGCAGATGGCAGCAGCACCATAACAAGAACAACAAAAGTAACCTTTTATTTATTTATTCATTTCCTCTGTGTGCCAAGCACTATTCTAGGCACTGAGGAGAGGGGAGTGAACAAAGCAGATGAAGTCTCTGTCTCTGTGTCTAGCTTACATTCTTGTGTGTGTGTGGGGTCGGGGGGAAGACAGAAAGCTGATAAGCATACATATAACATGTGAGAAAATAAGTGCCATGGAAAAGAATGAGGCAGGATTCGGGTGTGGGGAATGTGGAGGAGGGGCAGGATTTGCTCATGTCACGAATGCTAGAGAGCCCCCGTGGTGAAATGGCATTTGAAGGGAAACAGGGGAGATGAGTGCTCTAGTCATCTTGGGAAGAAGGAAAAAGGCAAAGGCCCTGGTGCTGCTGTGAACAGGGAAGATGAATGAATAGTAAGGAGGCTAATTGTGTGGCTGGAGTGGAGTGAGGAAGCGGGAGAGTCATAGAAGACGAGGTCCGGGAGGCAACAGATCAGGCAGGCTCTCAAAGGCTGTCCCAGGACTCTTTTACTCGGTAAGATTGGAAACTTTTGGAGGGTTTTGAGCAGCAGAGTCATGATTTGACTTGAGCCTTAAAGTAGGGGTTGACAGGCTGGGCGCAGTGTCTCATACATGTAATCCCAGCACTTTGGGAGGCCAAGGCGGGCAGATCATCTGAGTTCAGGAGTTCGAGACCAGCTTGGCCAGCATGGTGAAACCCCCGTCTCTACTAAAAATACACAATTAGCCAGGCATGGTGACATGTGCCTGTAATCCCAGCTCCTCAGGAGACTGAAGCAGGAGAATCGCTTGAACCTGGGAGGCGGAGGTTGCAGTGAGCAGAGACAAGAGTGAAACTCCATCTGAGAAAAAAAAGAAAAGTAGGAGTTGACAAACCACAGCCTGTGGGCCAAATCTGGTTCACGTCCTGTTTTTGGAAATAAAGTTTAATTGAAACACAGCCACACCCATTTGTTTGCATATTGTCTGTTTGCTTTTGTGCTTTGATGGCAGAGTTGAGTAGTTACCATAGAGACCCTATGGCCTGAAAAGCCTAAAGTATTTATTATTTGACTTTTTAAGAAAGGTAGTCCAACCTCTGCTTTAAAGGATCACTTTGGATATGAACCTTTGGAAGGATGGAGTTGTCATTCACTGAGATGAGAAAGACTGAAGACTGCATGAGAGGCAAGCATGAGGGGGACATTAGGGGTCTGGTTTGGACATTTGAGATGCCTGTTGACCATCCCTGTGGAGATATCAGATAGGCAATTGGAGACAGATGAGTCTGGAGTCAAGGGCAGAGGTCTGGATTAGAGATACAGAGTTAGGAAATAGCAATATATTGGTAATATTTGAAGCAATATGACTTGGAGCCATAGCAACCAGGTCCAGGAATTGAAACTGCGGCTCTCTAGTGGTTAAAGGTTGGACCAGGAAGACCAGCCAGTGAGGTAGGAGGGGTCCAAGAGAGGATGACTTCCCAGAAGCTGAGTAAGGAGGGGATTAGCAGTGTCAGATATTGCTACAGGACAGGTAAGACAAGGACTGAGGATTGACTTTGGGATTTAACAATGTGGAAGCCATTGGTGTCCTTGAAGGGAGGCTGTTTCCATGGAGTGGGTGGGGTCTGATTGGCATGGGTTCCAGAGAGAGAATGCAGGAGAGAGATTGGAGACAGCAAGCATAGACAGCGCTGAGGAATTATACCGTAAAGCAATGTAGAGAAGGAAGGTGGTTAGGAGCCACATTGTCACCAAACCTCAGGGGATTCAGTGAATCAGGGGACCATGGATGATTACAGTAAAGTGAGGTCGGTGGTGGTATAGTCTGGAGGCATTAGCTGCAAAGGTGGAATTTTCAGGGAAGAGAGAGAATGATCTAGAAATGGCAGTGAGGGGCAAAAACACTTACACACTTTGGGCCCGTGATATGAGAGCTATGGGAAAGAAATGACCACAACTTTGAAGGCTGCGGGAGAAGCAGTGTCCTTGGGGTCATCCCAAGTTCCCTTAGAGTGATGGGGAGAGGTGAATGTTCAGACAGGATATTGATGTTCTTTGGGACTTGCCAATGAAGGGAATGAATACCAGGGTGGGAGGTTGCATCAGATTAGAGGATTTCTAGAGTGGTTCAGGGATTGGAGATGACTCTGGAGTCTTGGACATATTGTGGTATTAATAAAACAATCACCTATTACTTACTGAGTCTTGCTGTACACTCTAAGTACATGATCTAATTGGGTTCTCTCAACAGTCCTTTGAGGCAGATACAGAAATTACTACCATCTTATAGTTAAGGCAGCAGTTTCAGAGATAAAGTGACTTGGCTACAGTCACACTGTGACCAACTTCAATCAGCCTGCCTAATTTCAAAGCCCATGTTCTTTACTGTTTCACAAAGCCTAGTATGTGATACTTCTTGTATGCATTTTATGGTGATCCATAGCCAAAGGTATGTTTCCTTTAATTTTAGGTTTTCTTTTGGGTTTACCATAGTTGAGGTTTCCAGATAAGAAGAGCTTTGGCAGAATTGCTCTTCCCCTACCACCTCCTTATCTGCCTTCTTCTAATCCATTCAACCATCATCCAGGCATCTTTTCATTCATTCAGTGAACATTCCCTGGGCACCTGCTAGGTTTCCAGCCTCATGCGCTGGGGGTAGGAGAGAAATAGATACAGTCTCTGCCTTCTGAGAGCTCCCTGTCTGGTGTGGGTTGGGGGAGGTGGCAGTTAACTAAATCAGTACAGGGTTGTGGGGACCTTCATGGAGGAAAGATTTTATGGCAAAGGTAACTCAGCTCAACAGAGGCCCTGGCACTTTCCCCATAGCTTGCCATTTTTTAAAATTCAAATTTAAATTTTTTATATTTTGTAGAGATGGGGATCTTGCTATATTGCCCAGGCTGGTCTTGAACTCCTGGCCTCAAGTGACCCTCCTACCTCGGCCTCCCAAAGTGCTGGGTTATAGGCATGAGCCACCACGCCTGACTCCTAGCTTGCCATTTACACTCAATACTGTTTTTATTTTTTACTGAGACACCAGGGTGCCTCCACCCCAGGTGCTACCTCAACAGTTGCCCAGGAGACCCTAGGACCTCTGTCTTCTTGGGAAAAATGGGCACGAATTGATAGAATTCATTTTCTCACTCAGCTTTTTGAGGGCCTGGACTTAAACCATTTCAGACAAGCTGCAGTATATTTATGCTTTTTATGTCCTGTTATGGCAGCTCGATAGATTAATTTTATCTTATAAATTGCATTTTGCCTCCCCAGTGTTTTTATTTTCCCTGTTGTACCTTTGTGTTCTTCTCAGTTGCTTGGCTAAGTTTCAAGTCTTACGGTTTTATTTATTTTTCTTTCTCTTTGTGATTGCCTGTAGCTCAGCCCCCTGTGGGAGCAGCCTACCAGGACAACCCAGGAGAGCAGAAAGGAATTAAAACCACATCTTCTGCCTGGAGAGACAAGGAAATGGACAGTGATCAGCAAACAAGCTACGAGATCGGTCAGAATTCAATCCCTATGTGTACTGAACACCTTCCATGTGCCAGGCACCATTTGGGATGTTTCATCTAAAATTATTACTAAGCCCATAGCAGCCCTCTTGGGGCGTTATTATAATTCCAGTCTAACACATGGGAAGCTGAGGTTTTAAGAAATAATTGACCCAGGGTCACCCAGCTGGTAAGTAGGAGAAGAGTCAAAGTACAGTAGGATGTCAGAGCCCACCCGTCCATGTGTCAACATGCTTCTCTACCAGGTGGTGGGCTGGGTTCTGGTGGTTCAACATGAAAAGACACAGCCTGCTCTCAGGGACCCCACAGGTCAGAGGAGACAACCATCCCAACAGCCTGTCAGTATTCAGCGCGGGGCTGCCTGTTGCTGAGGTGTGTTCAGTGTTGGCCTGTGTGCCCAGGAGGAGTGGGTCAGAGGAGAGCCTGAGGCTGAGACTGGATTTGTGGGGTTTGCCAGGCAGAGCAGTGAAAAAAGGTGCAGATATGTGGGTGAGGGCACAGGCAAGTTGTATTCCTCTCTTTTTAAAATTATGAAGTATTAGAAGCATACATAAGCACAAAAGATAATATAACAAATACTCATGTTCTCATTCAACCAGAATGAACAAATGCCTACATTCTTTTTATGTTAGATATTTTTCCCCATTCATTAAAAAAAAAATCACTATTAATCCAGATCTAACTCACTCTGTTAGAAATAATTGTCCTCAAGAATCCTAAATTTGTCATGGGATGGCCATGGGAACACGAGTCTCTGGAAAAATACTGAGTTGTGGTACATACACTGTTTCCAGTGGTGTATACTTTGCAAGGTCCAGAGTCACTGCAGTGAATACATGTTCACATGTTTCTGCGTGTTCTGGGTTTTGAGGAGAAAGCTGCTCTACCAGGCAATAAAGTCCCCCTTAACTGAATTGTGGAAAGTTGTAGAACTACAGTATTTCTTATAATGCAAATATTCATAAATGGTCTTGGGGACATCTTTTGATTTCTTCATAGTCATTAATACAAACTTCTTAACTAATTGACAGCTTCCCTTTCCCTGTCATTACTTCCCTTCATTACTGAACGTCTTTCATTTTTCCGAATGTGCTTCCAGAACTTTGCACATGAGTTGCGTCTGCCTGAACTTCCACCTTTTAATTGTTGCCCAGCTGAGGCCGGGTGCTGCGTGTTGACATCTTCACTGCTGTTTCTTTTTCATGAGGCCCTTGACAGATACTTGGGATGTGAATAAAGGATTTTACAGGCATCTTGGCCTTCACATTGAGGGTTAAGAACTCTTTCTGTCTTTGCTCATGCACCCTGGTACAGGAGATTCCATTGCAGGAGTGTTACTTTGGGAAGCAGCATTCAGAGCGTTAGAGGCAGACCGCCAGGCTTGGAGGAAGGGCTCTACTGCTTACCTACGCTGGACCCTGAGCAAATTCTTAAGCTCTCTAAGCCTCAACCTTCTCTTCTGTAAAGTGGGGATATTAGTGATGCCTCATAATTACTTAAGGAAAGTCCTGGGAACTAATCTTTATTTCCATGAGTGAACACGCTTCTTGTCGTGAAGTACAGACCAAACTTCATTATCTTGAGGTTGTTACAGCAAAGATATTTTCTTGTCTTGGAGGGTGATTCACTGGAAGAAAGCCTTATTGAGAGATATCTCCCTCCCCAGCTCCCCTTTCTCTTTCTTGTTCAGCCAGAAGTACTTGCTGAGTACATTCTCTGTCGCAGGCCCTGTGTGAGATACTGGAGAAACAGACATGGATGACACGGTCTCCACCCTCAAGGCTATTATTGACTAATTATCATAGCAAAGTGTGTACAATAAAAATACTGTATTAGGAATGCTTCCTTTAGGTCAGGTAGCAGCTGCTTTCTAAATGAAATACCGTATTTTATGGTATTTGCATCATGAACAGAGACAAGAGTATACCTAAAGACACAAGGAGCAGATGGCAGAATCAGAAATTGGGACATGCAGTCTAATGACGATTTTTGTGTGAATTTCTTTCTGAGAGATCTCTGAGGTCACCCAGTCCAACCCCACGTTGTTGCTTCTGTAGCATTTTTCCAGGCTGGCCTTTGCATGCACGCCTCCGGTGAAGGGCATCTCCTGTCTTCGAATGGTTAGACGATGTTTGTGTTACTTGGATTCCTTCACTACTGTGTGCCAGATACTGTGCTAGCCTTTTTTTTTTTCCTTTTTGCAGATATTGTTCCATATAATCTCTACAAACAAACATATACACACAACTTTTCACAGTGAATGATGTTCTTTCCATTTTACAGATAAAGCTACTAAAGCTCAGAGAGGTCAAATAACTTGCCTATGTGGCAGAGCCAGAGTTTGAAACCATGTGTGTTGAATTTCAAAGGCAGGTTTTTCTACTACATTCTGCTGCCCCTTAAGTATTCAGACAGCTCTCTGTATTGAGCAGAACTTTCCCTGGGCAGCCAGCAGTGTGGCATAGTGGTTAAGAACAGAAGCTCTGGAGTCAGGCCTGGGCTTGAAGCTGCACTACAGCCACATGAGACATCTCTTTCCACATTTTAGACACAGGGGAAACTGAGGTTCTTGGATAGTAAAGTCACTTGCCTCAGGCTGTGCGACCTTCTAAGCTTCATATTCTTTCTGCTGTACCACTCCACTTCTCAAACAAGTTTGGCTGCATTTCTAAGGGTTTAGCTATTACTAGCTATAAGGAAATATTTCCTGGCAGTGTTGTGAGTGAGTGAAACACCTTACTGAAGGGGATGTCAGGGTATCTCCTGGAAGCCGTTAGACATGGACATGAGAAGACTCTCACATGTCGTGGATATTCAGAATTACCACTCTTTACTGTTGCTTCACAGTCTGTCAGTGTTTCTCACACTGGCACTGACTTCTGGTCTGGGTTACGTACTGTACTAGATGCCGAGAATGTGAAAATGAAAGGCCACATCTCTGCTGTGAAGAAACGTGCAGTCTGGTGAGGGAGAGAGGCATTCAGATAACTAATTGCTATGTGAATCAACAAATAAGCCACTTATAATTTTTACTTTAGCACCCAGCACATAGTATATTTGTCTTGAGTAATATGCATAAGGTGCTACAGAACCACAGCGAGTTGTGACTTTTGTATAGTTTGGCAGTGGGCTTGCAGAGGAAGGAAAATTAGATCTGGGTGTGGAAAGAGTTCATTAGGTAGGAGTAGAATAGAGGGCTGAGGGGGTTCCAGGCAGAGGGCACGGCTCATGCAAAAGCATGGAGGCATGAAACAGCAAGCTATGTGCAGAGAATCATGGTTAATTTTGTAGGAAATCTCCACAGGGGTGCCAGAGATATTCCTGGAAAGGTTGCCTGGAACTAGATCGTGGGAAGGTCTCATGTAGATAGTGGGAATGTCGATGAATTTTAGAGGGGGTGTATGTAGATTTATCACGGTTAAATTTACTTTTTAGAACAGTCACTCTGAGGAAGAAGACAACTGAGGGGTAAGAGGGAAAGACGAGGGATTTTTGAGGGAGGCTTGTTAGGAAAGACTGAGGCTTTTTGAGGGAAGTGTGTTAGGAAATACCAGGGCCTTTTTGAGGGAGGCTTGTTAGGCCACTGCAGTGGTCTTGGCTTGACTATGGCTGTGAGGAAGGAGAGAGGGGTTGGATTTTAGTAAAAGAGATACTGACATAAATGTTTTTGATTTTCAGGCTCTGAGATTTGCCCACCTGATGACCTTGCCAGCTTGCCATCATGCAAAGAAAATCCTGAAGATGCTCTGAGCCCAACTTCAGTAGCTACTTACTTGAGTTCCAAGAGTCAGCCTTCTGCTAAAGTCAGTGTGATGGGGACTGATCAGTCAGAGAGCACTGATACCTCAAATGAGACAGAATACTTAAAACAGAAAATCCATGACTTGGAAACTGAGCTGGAAGGCTACCAGAATTTCATATTTCAGCTTCAAAAGCACTCCCAGTGCAGTGAGGCCATTATTACAGTTTTGTGTGGGACGGAAGGGGCCCAGGATGGCTTGAGCAAGCCCAAGAGTAGTTCTGATGAGGAAGAAATGGCCTTTTCAGGTTTGCACCAAGTACGATATGTGAAACACATGAAAATCCTCCATCCGCTGGCCCCAGAGATGATTGATGGCAGGATGCTAGAGAACCTCAAACAGCAGCTGGAGGAACAGGAATATGAGCTGCAGAAGGAGCAGAATTTGAACATGGAACTTTTCAGTGAGATCCATAATCTGCAGAATAAGTTCAGAGATCTCTCACCTTCCAGGTACATTCTACCTCTGCGGTCTCACCATTTTAGCCTGTAGTCCCCCAGTATTGCCACTAGATGGGAGCCCATGAGCTAAAAGAGAACGCTGCTCTGTGATAGGTAGAGTGTGTTCTGGGGAGGGCTTGATGGTGGGGTTCAGGCAGCCAGGTCCTGTGGAGAAGTGAGAGGTGAGGCCACAAAGAAGAGGAACAGCGACCACACACGTGAACATCAGTTACAAGTCTTGGGTCCTCTGGAAATTGGCAGGGCCGATTTCGCCCTCCTCGAGTTGGGGGCTCAGGGTAAAGGTTTCATACTAGTCACTTGGTGAGTGATAGAGCCTTTGCTTGAACTGCAGTGTGTGCTACTGGACTCTGTTACTGGCTTTTGCTGTGCTGTGAAACTAAAACTGATGTCTAGGCAAGGTAGGAGGAATATAAATATTTTCCATATCTTTACCCTTTAAGGTCATCTTAGAGAAATAAGCCTGCGTTGAAAGAGAAGAATTCTTAGGTCACGAAGATAATGCTTTATGGTCATAGATATATACAGATTTGCTTCATGAGATATGGCAAAAATGGGATCATTTGTAAAGTTGACCTTCATTTGTCACTAATTTGAGTCAAACACATTGTTCTGAATTGTCAGGAGCCAGGATGAATTTTTCAAGACTTCCCAAGCAGTGAGATTGAAGGAAGCTTGTAATTATTGAAAGGCTGTTGTCTCAGGCCTCTGGTTAGGCACTTTTCTTATCTAATCCTCAAAATCACCTGAGAAGGAGGTGTTCCTAAACTAGTTATTATAGGTAAGGAAACTGAGCCTCGAAGCAGCTGTGGTGACTTGGCAGGGAATATTCACAGAGCTGGTCAAAGCCATTGCCAGGGTTCAAGCCCACATTATCCCACTCCAGTACCCATGTTTACTCATGTTGCTCATGAGTTACCCATGTTTGCCTATGTTACCCCAGTATTCACATGATACTGGCCCCCACCTTTAATGCTGGGATCATGTAATCTGCATGTGCACACTCTATGTTGAAGGCGACTGCCAGCCCATGTAGTGTTGTCATTTCTAGGAAGGTATGTTGAACTGAAGTGTCAACATCTTTGCCAAGCTACTCGCTGGAGCAAGGTTACTGTGGCCAGTTTACCTGAGTCACATTTCCCTTAACCTTTGTAGTTACTCAGTGCCTTTCTTATGGGCTCACATAGGAAAAGATGGCACATGGTGGTAAGAAGGTAATATTGCATAATGATCTTCAAAGTGAGAATCGTGTTTGAATCCAAAATCTTTACCACTTAACTAGCTTTGCAATCAGTTTCTTCTTCTGTAAAAGGGGACATTTATACATTTTGGAAGACTGAGAGGATCAGATAACATATAAAGCACTGAATTCAGTTACTGACAGGTCCTAGACCCTCAGTAAATGGTAGTTAGCATCGTGATTATTCAGTGACATTTCGTTCGGGAGGAGAGAGTCCTATCTTTTTTTTCCTTGCCGTACACTTTCTTTATCACACTTCATGAGAATTTTTGGTAGGTCCTCTGACCCTTGGGGCACTCGTTTCTACAATTCAGAATAGTATTTTTGAAGAGTGTTTGGAAACTAATTGTTCGCCTGAGTCCTTGCCAATCTGTACTTTAATTGGGGGCTTTATAAGGTTACAAATGTTGCAGAAGAATCTTTGTTCCAGCATTTGTTGGCTGTGTGAAATCAAAGAAGGGGTGACCTTGTACAGTTTCAATTTTTCTAAAAGTATATATACTTGTACAGCTGCAGGCTTTTAAAAATTGTACTCTGTCATTTTTCCAATTAGTGTTAAGGTCACAAAAATTCAATTCTAAAATGGTCCAAGTATTTTCTTTCCCCTCTTTTATCAGATACGATTCATTAGTTCAGTCCCAAGCCAGGGAGCTCTCCCTTCAACGGCAGCAGATTAAAGATGGCCATGGCATCTGTGTCATCTCCCGTCAACACATGAACACCATGATTAAGGCATTTGAGGAGTTGCTGCAGGCCAGCGACGTGGATTACTGCGTGGCCGAGGGTTTCCAGGAACAGCTGAATCAATGTGCTGAGCTGCTGGAGAAATTGGAAAAGCTATTTCTCAACGGTAAGTAGGGTGAGGTACGCGAGTCCTAAGACATCAGTAATTGACCCAGGACTTCTTGGAGGGGCACAAGAGGAGCTAACTCCTTGGCCTTACTTATCTCTTTCCCCTCTGCCTTGATGAGGTGACAGCAGAACCACACTGGCTGCTGCTTCCTTCCAGTGACCACTTCCACGTGGCTTGTGGTCGGCACTGTTACAAACCGGGAGTCCAGTTTAGACACCTCAGGGGCCGGACTGGCGAGATACATGAGTGAAACCAGCCAGAAGTTGCTGCCTCTCACTCAGCAGTGGTCACATGGTTGCCAGTTCTTGCATCTTACAAATTTTCCAGAGAAGATGGGATTTTTTTTTTGGTGAAAACTCGTGTGTTTTAAATGTTGGCAACCAAAAAAATCCAATCAACCAAGCACAATTTTTATCAGTTAAAAAGTGTATGGAAGAGTTAAGGATGGCCAGGGGAAGGATGAAAGAAACCTTTGCTATGTGCTAGGCAAAATTTTCAAAATATTTTTTTTGAGACTACAGGAAAGAACTCCCATTTACTATGCACCCAGCTCCATCAGTTGTTAGCATTTGCCACATTTGTTTTATCTTTCCCCGTCTGTACACACACGCACTCTACTATTATCTTTCTGAGCCCTAGGAGAGTGGATTGATTGATGCTATGATGTTCCTTTCTCCCTAGATAATTCAGGGTGTGGTTCCTCAGACCAAGGACATTATCTTACCTAACCATGGTACTATTATCACAAGCAGAAACAGTGTTGTCTCATATACTATTATCTAATATACAGCCTATAGTTGAATTTTTATAATTAATTCAATAATGTCTTTTATGACAGTTTATTCTGGATCCTGATCCTGATCCAGGATCCAGTCCCCACATTACATTTAGTTGTCATGTGTCTCTGGTCTTCTTTAATCTGCAGTAGTTCCTCACCCTGTCTTCTTTTCATGATGTGAACATACTTGAGTAGTTCAAGCTAGCCCCTCACTTTGGGATTATCTGTTCTTAAGACTCAATTCATGATTAGATTAGATTGGTTAGATTAGATTGGCTATGCAGTTTTGGCAGGAATGCTACATACTATTTTGTTCTTATGGTATTTTCTTAAGGAGGCACACAATATCAATCCCATTTTTGGTGATACTAACTTTGATCACTTCTTAAGGTAATGTCTGTCAGTTTTCTCCAGTGTAAATTATATTAACCTATGTAATGAATGAGTAATTTGTAGAAGATACTTTGTAACGCTGTATGTGTTCTCCTCCTCTTCAAACTTCTACCATGAGTTCTACCATATATTGATGATTCTTGTCCAAGTCAAATGTTACTATGACAATTTTTTTCTAACAGTAACTTTTTTTTTTTTTTTTTT